TACAGGTCACGCTTGTGGAAATTGATTCAGTCAGTGGACACAGGTAATCTATTTTGAGGAAAGTGTACAGTAGAGCAGAATAGGGGTGCTCTTGGAGAGATGAAAGGACTGAGTCCTGGCTGGGGAAGAGGACAGGGCCTAGGAGGGTCCTGGGAGGTAGGCGCCAGGGCTTAACTAGAAAGCAAGGAGAAGGTAGATCTCAATTCCAAGCTCCATCACCTGTAGTGAGAATGAAACATCTTTAAACAAGATTGGTTGGGCAATGTTTCCTCTAAAGGGCTTCTATAAGTTACAGAGAAATGGGTAGGAGGCAGGAAAAGGGAACTCTGAAAACCTTTCTGATCTACTTCAAGAGAGCAGTAGAATAGGTATCTGTGAGCATTGCTAGGGAAATTCAAATGAGAGGTATAAACTCAGTTGAAGGAGGCTGTGTGTCAGAGACTCTCTACAGAGGTAATACTGAGAGAGCAAGTCCCACTAGTTGAATCTAATCCAAAGCCACTTCTGTGTAGTTCTGATAGTGGAAGGAAGTCAGAGGAGATGCCACTAAGCAGAGAGGTCCTACAGTTAGGGTGCACACAGGACCTCCCACCAATCCTCAGATGTGTACGAAAGCTATCAACAACTGGCTTCAGTTCAAAACGACAGACATGGAGGCAGTGCTGATATTCAGCCAGGATGCACCAGTATGGCAGCACTGGTTAACAGCCAGCATTTGTGTATATTTGTTTGGTGCCTTTACCACACAGGAAATAATGTCCCTGCCTGGGGCACAGATATCCAACATATGGAGAAATCTAGGGATCCCAGAGGTGACCTGTAGAATATCAAATGGCAAAAATGGCTTGTGATCCACCTATTATCCCTACCCCACTTCCACCTGGAATGGAGGGATGGGGCCAGAGATAGAGGGTTTGGTGGCTGGAAAAATTCTCCTATGCTTTGAGGGAAAGAATATAATTATGGCTAACACATATATAGATAAAACAATTATGTGGATATGCTAGGCATTATTCTCTATGCTTCACATTATTTCATTGAGCCTTCACAATAACATTAGTAGGAAGGTACAATTAATACCTCCATTTTACAGATGAGGAAATGAAGGCATAGAAGGGTTAAGTAATGTGCCCAAGGTCCCACAGCTTGGTAAATGACAGAGCTGGATTCTGATCCCATCAGCCTGGCTTCAGAGTCTGTGCGCGCTTAACTTCAGAGTCTATGCCAGGCGTCCTCAAACTATGGCCTGGGGGCCACATGTGGGTGTTTTTGCCCCTTTGCTTTTTACTTTGAAATAAGATATGTGCAGTGTGCATAGGAATTTGTTCGTAGTTTTTTTTAAAACTATAGTGCGGCCCTCCAACGGTCTGAGGGACAGTGAACTGGCCCCCTGCTTAAAAAGTTTGAGGACCCCTGAATTATGCTATAGGGAAGGGATGCCAAAACTCTCAAAATGAGAATAAGCATTACAGGGAGGGCAGCTAAGGCCCCTGGGTATGCTATGGGGACCCCTAATTACCCTCCCCCATAGAAAGCCCCCTACCTAACAGTCACACCTCGAATCACAGAGCTATAATGAAACATGCCTGGAGGCCATCAAAGTGGTGGCAGTTCTAATAGAAATGAGAAAAATCATAAGATGGTTAAACCAATAGGAAGAGTAGGATTTCCCTCTCCTAAAGATTCTCTTTCCAGGGCTAAAGCTTTAATTTGGAGTTTTGTTTCTATAACAAAGGAGGTGATCATGGTGGGGTTATCTTATTTTCAAAAATAAAACATTTTGTGTAAATATCCAAAATTATTTCCATGAAAATTTCCCTTACATGTGACCTGAATTGTATTCGGCTGTCCTTATAATTACTTGGGGTTACAGTGGAACACACTGCAGCGATGTTTCTAAGTCTTTCATTGTACTTGTTCTCATAGGAAAAACTCTTGTCAACTCTATCCTTTTTCCTCTCTGATCTTCTTTCTAGCATGTGTACTTGTGTCTAGATTTAGTTTAGGATGGGGAGGGAGGACATAGCACTATTATCGTGCTATTATAGTGGCTCTGGAGGCATCTCAAATCCTGACTGTGCCACAGAAGAATTCTGAAATAATTCAATGCATGAGTACTATAGGAGCGGGTCAGCTTTATACTGAACATAAATCTACATCTGTATTGGCTTTACTTTTGCTTCTTAACCAATATATTAAATGTTCAAATATATCAGACCTAGGTACTGTCATTCACATCTGTCAGAGACATAAGATGTTTCTCTTCAAGAACACAGAATTTGGAAGATTAAGTCCAGTTAGTGACAGAAAAAGACTATCTTTGGATTATCCCTTAAATTATAATATCCCATCTGCATATCTACCCACTGAATACTGCCTTGATCATTCATGTACCTAACTCACAGTGGGTGATCCATAAATGTATGATGAATGAATGATCTGCAATTCCCAGACTGTGGCCCTCATCTACTATGATAGCTTTCTCTGGATTTCTATGAAAGGCATATGCAGTCAGCATACAAGATAAGGAGCCTTTAAGACATTTAAGCATAGGAAAACTGCTGAAGCAGTGATTATTACAAAACACGACGGTACACAAAAGAACAAGACTTGTGGATCAGAAATTGAGATTGGCTGAAAAAGTTTTCTATCAGCAGGATAAAGCAAATTGCATGTAAGTTTTCTGAACAAAAAGAAAAGACTGAATTACTCAGTGTGAGTCTAAGATCAAAACAGGATGAGGCAGTCTCAGAAAAACAACATAGAAAATGTTACCTGATTTTATATATACTTTATTATTTTTGCTTCGCATGTCCTGTGTAGCAGGGATTAGTTCTAATGGTCAGAGTTCATATAACAATTAAAATGAAGAAGTTAATTTTTTAACTTCCTATTAAAATCTCTGCCTAAGGTACTTCCCTCAACACACACATGCTAGTTCCTACCCATCCTTCAAGGTTCTGTTCACGAAGCTTATCTCTTCCATGAAGCCTTTTTTGGTCTACATCTAGAAAGGCTTTGCCTTTTCAAGCACTTGTAATTACCACTGATTTCCTTTTATCAGACCTCTTCATATTATCTTTTTTAGTGTGAGTATCTCTTATCTCTCTCAACCACAGTCTCTCTGAGGGCTGGGATATATGCCCACACTGCCTTACACATAAAAAAGGCTCCAGACGTATCTGTTTATCTAAACTGGCTTTATTTCCTTGGGACTGCACAAGTACTTATTCTGTGCCAGGTTCTGGGGAAACAAAAGTGATAATTTCAGACAGTCTCTACCCTTATGGAGCTTATCTTTTTAGTAAAAAAAAAAAAAAAACTGGAAAAGATGAATGTTTTTTAGTTTTTCCAGAAAGCTATAAGAAGTTATAGCAGGAAAACATAGGAAATAGTATAGAATAGTTGAAAACACTGGACTGTAAGTCAGGATACCTTGACCTCACCTCTAATTTGATGTGTATTTGAGTATATTTCTTAATCATTTGTACATCCATTTTCCTATATGTCATATAGGGATCATATAAAGAATTGATCTCTGGCATGACACATAGGGAGAATTGAACTAGAAAAAAAAGCATCTATGAAAAACCCACATCTATGAAAAACACCGTACTGAAAGGTGAAAGACTGAAAGCTTTCTGCTAAAGATCAGGAGTAAGACAAGAATGTCTGCTCTCACTGCTGCTATTCAACACTGTACAAGGATTTCTGGCCAGGTTCTAGGTAAGAAAATGAAATAAAAGACATCAAGATTAGAAAGGAAGAAATAAAACTTTAACTCCGGATGACATGATCTTATAGAAAACCAGAGAGTCCACCAAAGAAACCTACTTAAGCTAATACATTCAGCAAGGTTTCAGGATATAAGATCTATATACAAAAATCAGTTGTATTTCTATAAACTGGCAAATAATAATCCAAAAATGAAACTAAGAAAACTCCATTTATAATAACATCAAAAGGATACTAAAGAATAAACTTAAAAGACGTACAAGACTTATCCGAGGAAAACTACAAAATATTGTTGAAAGAAATTGAAGATGACCTAAATAAATGGAAAAGAATCCTGTGTTCATGGACTAGAACACTTAATATTGTTAAGATGGCAATACTCTCCAAATTGAATTACAGATTCACAGAAAATCCTCCCAAAGTCCTGGCTGATTTGATTTCTTTTCTTTTTTTTTTTTTTTAACAGAAATTAGCAAGCTGATCCTACAATTCATATGAAAATGCAAGAGGTCCAAAATATCCAAAACAATCTTGAAAAAGAACATAGTTGAAGTACCACATTTCCCAATTTCAAAACTTACTACAAAGTTATAGTAATTAAAACCATGTTGTACTGGCATAAGGACAGACATAGATTAATAGAATAGAACTAAGAGTTTAGAGTAAACCCATATATTTATGATCCATTCATTTTTGATAAGGGTGACAAGGCAATTCAGTGGGGGAAAAATAGTTTTTTCAACAAATGGTACAGGGAAAACTGGATATCCACATGGAAAAGAATTTGGACCTCCACCTGACACCATATGCAAAATTAACTCAAAATGGATCAAAGACCTAAAAGTAAGAGTTAAAATTATAAAACTCTTAGAAGAAAACATAGGTATAAATGTCTGTGAAATTGGATCAGGCAAGGTATTCTCAGTTATAACATCAAAGGACAGACAACAAAACATAGATAAATTGGACTCCATCAAAATTTAAAAACTTTAGTACTTCAAAAGACATCGTCATTAAAGTGAAAAGGCAACACACAAAACAGGAGAAATATATTCAAGTCATATATCTGAGAAGGGACTTGAATCTAGAATATATAAAGAACCCTTGAAACTTAATAAAAAACCCTGATTTTAAAATGGGCTAAGGACTTACATAGATATTTCTCTGAAGAAGATATAAAAATTACCAATAAACACATGAAAGAATTCTCAACATCATTAGCCATCAGGGAAATGCAAACGAAAACCAGAATGAGATACCATTTCATACCCACTAGGATGGCAATAATCAAAGCGGCAGTAATAACAAGTGTTGTCAAGAATGCTGAGGAATTGGAACACTCATACACTGCTGGTGGGACTACAAAGTGGTGCACCTGCTGTGGAGAAAAGTCTGGCAGTTCTTCGAAAGGTTAAACATAGAGTTACCATATGACCCAGCAATTTCACTCTTATGTATATGCCCAAGAGAACTAAAAACATGTCCAAACAAAAACTGGCACATGAGTGTTCATAGAAACATTATTCATAGTAGGCAAAAAGTGGAAATAACCCAGTGTCCATCAACCGATGAATGAATAAAATATGGTATATCCTCTCTGGCTCCCGCCTTCGCCCGCTTCCGGTCGTCGTCGTCGCCGCTGCTGCCGCTGCTGCCGCTGCTGCTGCTGCTGCTGCTGCTGGCGGAGGCCGGAGGATCGGGCGGCGGCGGCTGAGAGGGCGGCGGCGGGAGCGGAGCGGGACGAGGGAGCGAGAGGAAGCGAGCGAGGAGCGAGCGGAGCGCGCCCTTCCGCCCGCCTGAGGAGCCGGAGCAGCCCGGGCCCTGCCGCCGTCGCTGCCGCCTGCCTGCCCGCCGGACAAAGCCAAGAGCCCGCGCCCAGAGCCATGTCCTCGTCCGCCGGCAGCGGCCACCAGCCCAGCCAGAGCCGCGCCATCCCCACCCGCACCGTGCCCATCAGCGACGCCGCACAGCTATCTCATGACTATTGCACCACGCCCGGGGCGACCCTCTTCTCCACCACACCGGGAGGAACTCGAATCATTTATGATCGAAAATTTCTGTTGGATCGTCGCAATTCTCCCATGGCTCAGACCCCGCCCTGCCATCTGCCCAATATCCTGGGAGTCACTAGCCCTGGCACCTTAATTGAAGACTCCAAAGTAGAAGTAAACAATTTGAACAACTTGAACAATCATGACAGGAAGCATGCAGTTGGGGATGATGCTCAGTTTGAGATGGACATCTGACTCTCCTGCAAGGATTAGAAGCAAAGCAGCAACGCTGATACTTGTGTGTACCTGATTTGCCAATAGGATCAACAATGAAAAGAAGAGGCAATACCAGCAGTCCCGTTGCAGTCGCCACCTCCCCTCCTCCTCCCTTGTGTGCCAAATGATGGGAAGATGAGTGTCGTCTGACCATTCTTCTCCGTTTCCTATTCCCATTCCTAGTTAGACAGACTAGATTGAAGGCCCTTGGTGTATTTCTGTAGAGCTAAGCAGCCCATAGAGGAAAACATTAAACTGTGGCTTCCCTGGTCATTTTTTATTGAGAACGAACCCCTTCAGATGTGTCCCAGATCAAATATCAACCTACCAACAACTGCCTGGCTGGGAAGTCTGGGGGAGGGATACAGAGGTGTGTGGGTTCATCTTCATTCATGTTCCTTACCCTCTCTCTCTCCTCCTTGTGAGAGTCTGGGTTTGGGATCTTTAAAATCATCAGGGAGAAATGATAAAAAGAGAGCTGCTTTCCCTTTTACCTGAGATGTTTGTCCTTAGGGATAGCACAGTTGGTGTAACTCCTGTAGCTTATCTTGTGACACTGTTTTGAGGTCCACTTCCCTTCTTTGCTCTGGGAGGAATGTCTTCCCATTCCTTTCCTTTTAAACCCTTTACATCAGAAGGGAGCCCTTGGTAACCAGCTTTGGTCTTCTTCTGTCATTCCTCCCTGCTTGCATCTTGTTGCAGGGAGAGTCCTTTTGTACTTTGAGATATCTAGGTGATTTTATCTGCTCCCAAAGCAGGTCCATACCAAGTCATAGAGGCACCGTGGCCTCCACTTGGTGCATTAGGCCTGATCATAGTATTCTGCCAGACAGTACTTAAGAATGACCTCGGAACAGTGTTGACCAATTTGAGTGCCCAGTCTCAGTAATTATTTTTAAGTCCAATGAGCATTGTGATATTTGCTCTTGGATTGCAGTTTCCTATGTTTTGAACTTAAAGTTGATTTTCAGAATGTTTCTAGAAAATAACTATTTTTTTTCCTTTATGGACCTGCTTTGTTTGGCTGCTGGGATAGATAAGCATGGGCTTTAAGATGTATTCCTCCCAGTTTTCTTGCCTTTCCCATTCTCTTCTTCCTGTCCTCCCCTGCTCCCTCCCTCTCTTCCTCTCTCCTTCCTTTCCTTTCTTTTTCTCTGCCAGGCCATTTTTCAAATTTACATCAAAGATACCTCAAGTGTTGGTATCTGATAATATCTGTCACTCCTCTTATCTGAGGAGTGACCTTTTATTTTTAAGATGACGACAGACCTATTTTTAGATACGTTTTCAGTACAATTTTGAACAGCAACTTATTAATGAAACATCTTCCAGTGTTGAAGGTGAGAAATGTCCATAGGCAAGTCTGCTGTTCTATGTTACCATCCTTCGTCTCCCTGAGTCCCTTAGGAGCTCTTTTCTTCCTCATCTAGTTTTGGGTGTGCATGTTTGGAGTTTATAGCGGGTGGTTTGTAAAGCTAGACCATTCTGCCTTGATATGGGTGTTCATGAAAACCTAATTATTTTCCTTACCGCTTTGCTTTGGCGTTCCTTCTCCCCACCTCTCCTGGGACTATTGACTGGCACGATAATCTCAGGAGAGTGATTCCCCCCATAGAAAGACTAAAGCATCCATTCCCTCATAGAAAGACAAATAAAGTAGCCCCTAGTGTCCTGGGATTTTCTAGTAGGGTTTGGTGCCTTGAACCCTCTTATTAAGAAATCAGATCCCAGGGTGAGAGTAACAGGCCAATTGGCTAAGAAAGAAAACTGTTTTTCTTTTGAACTATGAAAAGACCCTGTTTGTGAATACATTTAGAAAGAAGAAAGGAAGGATGTCTACAGAACTTTGTTCTGTTTTATTGCTACAAAATGTGAATAGTTCAAAGTGAAAACCTTTTGTGATGGTTGATGTCTCTCAGGAATAAGCTGGATCTCCAATGTTTTGGGGATGCTCTGAGTCTCAAAAATTGATAATCAGAAAAGTATTTTTTGTTTGTTTGTTTAATGTAACCCTGTTCTGATTTTAATTAAACTCCAAATTTCGTCTCACAAAAAAAAAAATGGTATATCCATACAGTGGAATATTATTCAGCCATAAAAAAGAATGAAGTACTGATACATGTTACAGCACAGATGAACATTGGAAACATTATGCTATGTGAAAGAAGCCAGAACCAAAAGGGCACATATTATATGATTCTGTTCATATGAAATATCTAGAACAGGCAAGTCTGTAGAGATAGAAAGTAGATTAGTGATTGCCAGAAGATAGGAGATGACTGGTGGGAATTGAGGAGTGACTACTAATGCACATGGGGTTTCTTTGTGGGATGATGAAAATGATTGAAATTGTAGTAATGCTAGCACAACTCTGTTAATATACTAACAAGCAGTGGACTGTGTAGTTTAAATGGTTGAATTGTATGGTATGTGAATTATATCTCAATAAAGAGGAAAAAAGAGAAGAGAAAAAAAGCATGTCGAAACAAGTTTTAGAATGCCATTAACACAGGCAAAATCTTTGAAGAATATAGCTACAACTTCAATTAAGAGTTGGATAAAGATACATACGCTTTTCTTAGAGAGTAACCATCATGTGCTTAGAGACTGGAAAAACAAGATAAACAAAGCACTCTAACTGACCAACTCCCAGGACAGGGGTATAGCCTTGTTACACAAACCCCCTCCCCACCATCAACCAACTTTTATCTTTTCCTTTCTCTTTGCCTTTTGATAAGTGAACTAGTACTGCCAGAACAAGACCAAGACTAAAGGTACTCCAACATTTTGTGGATCAGAAGCCTGAAATATAGATCTAATTATTAATATTTTAAAAAGTTTAGAAATTTCTATTATTCTAATACATCACTCAGGTTCTTCACCTCAGAGGAGTTTAATAATTTGTAAGAAAAGGCTCGGCTTCTTATGATGGCCTATCTAGTTTATTAATTAACTAGTGAGTCATCTCTACTTTTATGATGATATATTGGTCAAGGTTCCAAGGCTGTTGCTACCACTGCTGCTTTCTGTTTCATTTTAACAAGGAAGTTTATCTTGGGTAGTGCTAATGCAATATATGTAAACTAAACATTTATACCCCATAAGATTTTGAAATAAAAAATATGTTTATAATATTTTCATAGGCAGCCAAATCATATAAATATGATAATAACAACAGTTCCATCTATATTCATGATATCATTGGTGACAACTAGGATAATTTGCATGAAATTTCTTATTTTATCTCTGGTTTTTCACTGTAGTGATAAATTAACACTACCAATGGTGACTTATTCACATTTCATAACATGTTCAAAGACTATCAAAACAACAGCTTCTAGGGAAATGTGGACTCAAGCTTAATTGCAAAACAATCAGTATAGCAGAAATGTATTCTTTGGTGAGAATTAATTTGTAGAGGACAAATCATTTCATGAAATAATTGAACCATGTAAATGGTGACACTTAATACATGCAGATTTACCTAGCTTTCTCTAGTCTATCCCACCTTGTTCTCTATAGCTTTTTGCCCATACTCTGAAAAGTAGAAAAATAAATCTAGTGAAATTGGGCCATGACATAGAGAACTCACTGGCCATAGGACATATAATTATCTTTGACTTGTTCTTTTTTTTTTTTTTTTTGAGACAGAGTCTCGCTTTCTTGCCTAGGCTAGAGTGAGTGCCGTGGCACAGCAACCTCAGACTCCTGGGCTCAAGCGATCCTCCTGCCTCAGCCTCCCGAGTAGCTGGGACTACAGGCACGAGCCACCATGCCTGGCTGATTTTTTTATATTATATATATTAGTTGGCCAATTAATTTCTTTCTATTTTTATGGTAGAGACGGGGTCTCGCTCAGGCTGGTTTTGAACTCCTGACCTTGAGCAATCCGCCTGCTCGGCCTCCCAGAGTGATAGGATTACAGGCGTGAGCCACCGGGCCCGGTCGACTTGTTCTTTTTTCTCCTTAGCTATCCAATGAGTCTTGTCTAGTCTTTCCACATAATGTCTCTTGTACTTGTTCTTTCTTCTTCATTCTTGTTCATATTACTCATGTCTAGGGGCTTATGGACTCATAACTAGATTATTGCAATAGCTAATTAATTGGTTTCCTTATTTCCCTCTCTTTCTAACTCAAATATATCTGGCAGCAATATAAAAGATTAAAATTTCTAAAAGTAACATCTAATTATCTCTCTGTTTAAAAACCTTGACTAGCTTCCCCATGCTTACTGAGTAAAGTCCAAACATCATTAAGCCTTCCAAAATCTAAGTCCAAACTTTCTTTCTAGAAAGAAAGGTTTATCATCTATCACTCCCTTGAACAAAACTGGTCCCCTCACTATGCCCTGAACTTATGCTAATTCTTTTTGCACCTTTGCTTTCCAGCTAAGAATACTCTTCCCATCTTTGAAACCCCAAAGCTTACTTTTGTTCACGAAACCCTACCTGAACATTTACAATTCAGTGACCTCTCCTTCCATGAATGTGATGAGAGTTATGAACAGCGTCATTCATTTGGTAACACTTATATACAACTTTTCATATCTCACACATTAATTCTCCTACTATTTAATTTTGTGTATATCTTGCCTCCTCAACTAGATTGTAAGCTCCTTGGGAACAGGGGCCATTTATTATACTCTTGAAAGTTACCCACAATGCATATGCTATGCTGGGGGATGTGACAGGGACTAGTTATGACAGAAGAATGCTGGGGTTTCCCTAAGATGCCTATCAGATGGCAGCATTCACTTCTAGGTGATGGTTTCTTACATATACATTCCAAATGTGATCACTTTAAAGGTAAAACTAATAACTCTACAGGTTACTCCAAGATATAATGGAATTATAAACTGCCTCTGAAATACTTCCAAGGCCTTCAAGGCCCCTATTAAAATACAAAATTAACTTTTAATAAGTTCCTGCTCCCTTGAAAGCTTAAAAATGACATGTAAAAAAAAATGACATGTAATGAAAAATGGTCAAGTGAGGAGCATAATAATCTCTAAGATGTACTTGATCACAAAAGTACTCAAGCCAAGGCTCCATGCAGTCCATTTATATTTCAGTGCCTGGTTTTTCATCTGTAAAATGGGCTAAACTAAAACTACATAAGGAAAATAAATCTAGAACTTAAAGTTTACATTGAAGGCGGCCAAAATTATATGGATAACTCAAGCTTAAAAGGTTCTTCACACGTTGGTTTCTCCTGAATTATTTAGGTATCTGAGATTTCTTAATAAATAGAAATGTAATCCCCTTGGAATTGATAAGTGTTGCAAAAAAGAAGAAAAAAAAAGAAAAAAAGAAATGTAATCCCAAAGTAGCAGTTGCTAAATCTATGGTTATGTATACTGACCCAAGACATGTTACAACCATCAAGTTCTATTAAAATGCTTGTTAACCTTGTAACTGAAAAAATAATTATTACAAAATCCCCACCTCAGATTGCTGCTAAAGCTCTGAAGTTGCATGGGATGTACTGACTGCAAATTATCAGAAATGTTTTCCTTAGTTTTAGAGATAGCCCCAGACGATGAAGATTCAGTAACAAATGCTGCTTGCTACTGAAACCTACATCCTGTGTAAATCCCTTATACCTCTTGTCTCATGTGGGAGAAAGACCCACTTGATTATCTAGCGCCATCACATCAAACCTGCAGGGAACAATAAGATTGGTATTTCTATGTATATCCTTTCCTTCTGAAAATCTTCCTGTTAATGCTTTTGGTTTCTTCCTTTAGCCCAGCCTTGACTACTAATTGGAAAGAATTCAAATAAACTCCCCAATGTGAAATATTCATGTTTTATGGAAATGTCATCAATTTTCTTCTCCAGGGATTAGTATGATAATGAATTGAGCTTCCTGTCAACAAAAATGCTAAGTTCAAAGTATCATTTCCTTCACTTCTAATTACAAATAAGTTTTACCTTTTATTGTGTTCCATTATACAATTTTACATAGTACCATTACTATTTTAAGCAATAATTAAGCAAATTGAGTTAACTTTTTTTGAGCTCTACTTTTCAGCATATAGATTTACCTAAAAAAGTACAAACCAAGCACAGTGGTGCAATTTTCCAGGCACTTTCAAGTTGCTTAAATATTTACAAATATGTAAGCACCCTGTTTGAAAGCATGAAAATTTTGGTGTCAGGAGGAAACACTCCACATGTAGCAAATCCTTAAATTTTAACATTTGCACAGCTCTAAATATTCCTGAGAAAGGTCAGTCTCATCGTCATTTACATCTGCATTTCCTCACACTTCAGTGTATCTCGGGGAACCATAACCTCTGTCACTCGATGTACCACTAATTGCACAAAATACGTGTAATGTGTTGCTCATCCAGGGAGAATGCATTGTGTCTTCTTGTAGTATCTAAAACAAAAGAAATCCACATGGTTATCATGAAGCAAAATAGCCACTGCCAAAAAAGTATGTGTATATGAAATTACAGGCATGTTTCAATTTATCACTGACATTTAGCTATTTGAAATGACAGAAAGCAGAAAGAGCAAAGAATAACATTACCGACTTAAGTCTTCAAAGCTGAATTACAAAGGCAGCATATCAAAAAAGCAGAAAAGATCTAGTTACTCATTAAGAAATATAAAGATTATAAAATGCAAATTTCAATAAAAAGCGAGAGTTAACGTAATCTTTAAAACGTTGAACAGATGGCCATAACAAGAGCTCTAAACAGTGGACTCTGATATGAGTTTATATATCATCTTCTAAACACAGTGGTTCTCAGAATCACCTTTGGGACTTTTCAAACATGCAGATACTCATGCTCCTTCCCAGGAGACTTGGAAACAATACTAAATAAAGTTATGAGTTGTTAAGTGTACATTTTAAAAGATATATTATAATTATATAAGCTAATTGATATGGAAAATTTTTCTTGGAAATAGTTTCATGAATATAAAATATAAATGTCATATTCCTATAAGTACATAAACATATACATTCATATTAATATAAGTTTTTTAAAAAGTATCCCTTTTGTGTGATCCAAAGCAAAAGTAAGACAAATCTTACGATTAGATGGAGGAAAAGAATAATGTACACATTATATTCATCCTCTTTACTATAAGGTTCTACCTTAGGTCTAAATCTTTCAATCTTTCTACCTGGTTCTCAAGTTAGCTTTGAAACTTCATTATTATGCCCACAAATTGGTCTAAGGTGGCAGTACTGAGTCATATCATTTGTGTTGCTACAAATCATAAGGCTTAAAATAAAGTCTACAATAGAGAAATTTTTTCTTATAGAAATCTTATCTCAAAAAAATCTTATCTCATGACACTAATTTGAAAGCATATTAGAAGTTTAAAAGATGAAAAATTGATTATCCATGTCTGTCAGAATGTAACAAGCAAATAGGGTACTCACTGTGAAGAAATTAACAAAACAGACCAAGTGGACACTACAATGGCCATCACAATTCTATCTGCTTAAAAAATCTGTAATTAGTAGTTACAATATAATATAACTGCTTTTTAAAAAGTCAAAAGCTTAGGCCGGGCACAGTGGCTCATGCCTGTAATCCTAGCACTCTGGGAGGCCGAGGCGGGTGGATTGCTCGAGGTCAGGAGTTCAAAACCAGCCTGAGCAAGAGCAAGATCCCGTCTCTACTATAAATAGAAAGAAATTAATTGGCCAACTAAAAATATATATAGAAAAAATTAGCCAGGCATGGTGGCACATGCCTGTAGTCCCAGCTACTCGGGAGGCTGAGGCAGGATTGCTTGAGCTCAGGAGTTTGAGGTTGCTGTGAGCTAGGCTGACGCCATGGCACTCACTCCAGCCTGGGCAACAAAGCGAGACTTTGTCTCAAAACCAAAACAAAACAAAACAAAACAAAACAAAAAGTTTGAACAAGGTTTTAAAAGGACTGTATACTTTGGTATATTATAATAAATTACATTGAAAAGGGCCAAGGAATATCCAGGCCATGTCTTTTTATCAAGTAATCATTTATGGAGCTCAACAGAATATTTCATATTTCAGTACACATTAACACTTTGTCTTATTTTGTGGTTTATTATATGTCTCAAATGTATGACTAAAAGTAGGCTCTCTTTTACATGAAACTAATGGGAAATATTAATTGATTTATAAAAATTCACTATAAATCAACATTTGCCTAAAGTAAGGTACACCTGAACATGACATGTTATGACAATATAGCTTGTACAAATGTAAGGGAAAAGAAACTAAGAGTTTTCTTGGTTAGCTATCAATATATAATATCAAGGGCCTAAAATACTGGCCTTTACAACTAAGAAAAACAGCCATGATTTCTGGGAATAACTGATACAGACAGGTGGGAAATATGACAGATTTGAAAAATAATCCATGCTTCAGGGGGAAAAAACTTTATAGAACAATTACTCTTAATATCTTGATCACAATAATAATAGCAAATTAAATAATTTGCTTTCAATTTGAATAATTCAGAGTTCAAGACTAGGTCATGCAGCTGCATGCAAATGAAATAACTGTAATATGGTATATACTGGCTAAAAATAGCATATGCAATTGTCTTATCTCTTTTGTGAAGGAGTTTTGCTGTTTTATCTATGCATTACAAAAACCCATCAACCAGATAGTTTCTAAAAACAAACTATGCAGTCTATTCATTAATAGTATACCCCCGAACAGTGATGGTGAAGAGAGGTATATCCCCATTGTACTCATGGGCTGACCTTAAGATACAGACAGTACAGGAAGTGGAATGGATCCCTACTCTCCTAGTCCTGCTCACCTGGCTGTTTTGGGAAGGAGGGAAAAAAGGGCTTCTGAAAACTGGGCGGCAAAGGGATGCCTTAGAGCTGTTTGCACTCAGTCCTAAATAGCTAACAAAAGTAAAGATGGCAAAAGAAGACACAGAACACTGATTCCAGACTCCTCAAGCCATCAAGATACCCAGCTGCAGAGAATGGGCACACAGGAGATTGGGGTAACTGGTCTCATTAAACAGAAGGGAATGATGACAGTCTGGCTGGCCCTGATTCTCCATACTGAGAAGATGACAATGGTTGGAAAGTAGACTCCTGGTCACTCAATGCAACCTTGGGCTAATTGTAATGAAATTTACCACAGTTCTTTCTAAGAAAAAGTACACAAAATAAATTCAGAGAGGTAGAGTTTAATTGAAAGTCAACTATTAATAGCTTTCATTTTCCTAGAACTCACTCTCCTCTGCTTTTCCCCCACCATTGTACTGCAGTTGTTCGGGTATTAAACACTGGGCCTATTTGTAAGTACACCCTTTGCAGCAATCACTGACAAGCAGATACCAGGACAAATGAGGTTCTCCTTTTCAGGATCAGCTTTAAAAATGTGCTCCTTAAAATGGTATAGTTATCCTTGTTTCTTTTAAGGATCCTTAATTTCTTAAAAACTGAGACTCTGAAGTGTTTCGGGGACAAATATTTATCTTACTGGGTATTTCCCTTAGTAAGGAAATGAAGAACGCTTTATAAGCTCATGACTTTTACAAGCATGTTTAAGATGCACATGTACAGAGTGGCTGTAAACACAAATTTCAGGATCCCCATATAGGAATGAAGTTTACCAAGACAATCTAGAAGTACTCAGGTTTTCTATAAAGGTCACCAGATACATAAAAGTTGTAACTACTTAATTATGACATAATTTGGCTAAAGGGGTGATCAGGTCTTCACTTTGATATTTTTCAGACTGTGTTTTTTTTTTTTTTTTTTTTTTTGAGACAGAGTCTCGCTTTGTTGCCCAGGCTAGAGTGAGTGCCATGGCGTCAGCCTAGCTCATAGCAACCTCAAACTCCTGGCTCAAGCAATCCTCCTGCCTCAGCCTCCCGAGTAGCTGGGACTACAGGCATTCGCCACCATGCCCGGCTAATTTTTTTTGTATATATATTAGTTGGCCAATTAATTTCTTTCTATTTTATAGTAGAGACGGGGTCTCGCTCTTGCTCAGGCTGGTTTCGAACTCCTGACCTCGAGCAATCCGCCCGCCTCGGCCTCCCAGAGAGCTAGGATTACAGGCGTGAGCCACCGCGCCCGGCCTCAGACTGTGTTTTACTAAGTTAGCTATAACTGTCACTTCCACTCAGTCCATAGATTAAAATACTAATAAGTTTTATGAAAACAGGGAATTATGCAGGCTGTATGGGTATGAAAATAGTCCCCAAATTTTGGAAATCACCTAAATGACAGTATATAATTTCTTAACAGCCAACATAGGGATACTCATTTAGGGACTTGGCTATCGAACCAATCATTTCACTTCTCTAGGACTCTTCTTGAGAAACACTTATCCATGTTCACAGATCAATTTACACTTGCTCACCTAGTCACTTCTAATGACATTGTCACACAAAGAACAAAATAGTTTATGACTGATAATTGCTCTAGTAATGGCTTATGATAATTGCTTCAAATTTGATTTGTATTTTATTATATAAATGATTAAAGATAACATGAACACATTTTAAAATACAGAGTTAATAACTTTAAGGTAATACATTTTGAACTAACATGTTTTTCTAAACCAATACTTTAAGGATCCCAGATCATGCTTTCATTTTCAACCACCCTAATACTTGCCTGCTCATGGATAATGTCTGACAATTCTTTCACCATGTCTCTGAAATTTGACTTTAGCCCTTCATGGTACTCGACTTGATCTTCTTTAATTAGCCGCTCATTTAGTTCAAGTGCAATGCTGCATGCTTGTATGAATTTCCTGTGGATACACAAAGATAAAGGTTTTGTTATTTATTCTTAGGAAGTTTCACTGATAATCAATCCTTAACCATGGCTTACCTGGAAGGAAGATCAGAATTCCGTATTTTCTCACTGTGCATTTGTTAATGTCACTTCCTAAGTCTGAAAAACTTCTCCTTTCTTTTCTGCCTTTGCTCTCTGGTTTCTTATCTTCTTTAAGACCTGGCTCAAGACACATACCCTCTAGAAAACTTACTGGCTCAATCATTTACTTGGTATTATATTAGCTAAAGATTTGTTAATATTAATTTGCACATGTAGATAATGAGTCATTCACTCAAGAAGAATTTATATTGGGCTTATTATGTGCCCGGTCCAGTGCTGGGTGCTTATAGGTGTGAAGGATCTTCCCTTGATGTTAAGAGTGGACACAGAGAGCTGAGAACCTATCATAAAAGTATTTTTCCATTATTTCATGTGTTTATGTTTAATGTCCACAATTAGAGTACAGGTCTTAGGGGGCAAAGTACCTCATTGCCCATTCATTTTATATCCCTGTCGTAGCAACTAATAGTGTCTTTTGTGCATGTTGAGCATTAATAATTACTGGTGAATGAATGATGACAGGTTACTCTGCAACCTGGAGCAGGTGATAACACAGAGACAGAAAAAGCAAATGAAATAAGTTGGGTGCAAATGAGTAGACAGCTTATCATTCTCCTTAGTCTATTTCACTCAACTGTTTCTCTTGTTCTGAATGCAAGCTCCTTTTACATATATTAAACAGATTTTTTCTAATCTAAGACCATTTTATACATCCCTTAGCTTACAGGGCTGCCCACTGAAGACAAGATATTGCATGCCCTAGACTGGGAGAATCCAGGTGGAAATAAGGACACAAGATAGGAGCCAGCCTATGCAGCCCCTTCCAGCCCCACTTTTATTCCTACCCTAAATGGGCTGAAATGCTGTAACACGAGGTCATTCAGGCAAAGAAGGAAATCACATAATTAATGTAGGCTTGTGTTTGTGTCACATAAAATACTCAAGCAACATAGTAAATTGGCATATTTAATCTCTTTTCACTAGGGCATTATTAATATCTTGCAAGATGAGACATATCACATATTTCCTTACTACTTACAGTATCATTTGGAAGTCACGTAGATATTAAAAGAGCTCAAAGAGTGTCCTTTTTTGGAGGGGTATTATTTGGTGAAGACTTTGGGTTTTTGTTTTTAAGAAGAAAATGGAGCAAATGAACAGAGATCCAATCTGAAAACTACAAGACACTTACCTAAACATGTCTTTCAACTCATTCACTTTCTTAGGGGGATACTTGCTGGCTTGACTGTCATTTAAGAAAGCCCTTGCATATGCTAATGGACCAGCATTGACCTAAATTACAAAAGGAGAAAAATGTTGTCAGAATGTAATACTCAAAAGTAGTTTTTGCATCTCTCCTTTTTATGAAAAAGCCCCAAAATACATAAGAAATCCATTACTGAATAATGTATTTACCGTGTTTCCCTGAAAATAAGACAGGGTCCTATATTTATTTTTCCTCAAGAAGACACCCTAGGGCTTTCAGGGGATGTGTTATTTTTTAAAGTACAGTACAACAATCTACATTTATTCAAATATAGTTAAGTCCTTCTGGAACATCATCATAATTCTCCAAACCCCGAATTCTATCCTGAATTTCTTGTGACTCTATTTCCTTTAGTACCAGTGGCCCCAATCTCTCATGTTGAGCAATAGAGCTCTCATGGGGCAGATGAGAAGGGCTGCTCATCTTCTTTACTGCTCCACATGAAATGCACGGGTTGTGCAGATATGCTGCACAGCCATGCCTATCAGTAGGTCTTATTTTTGGGGTAGGGCTTATATTGCGCAAATGCTTAGAAATCCTGCTAGGGCTTATTTTATGGGTAGGTCTTATTTTTGAGGAAACATGGTATTATGCTTACTACAGATTTATTTGAAAAAACCATTAACTAAAACAAATAATCTACAATGATGATATTGCAGTAAGTTAGTTAATGATTTCTGATATGTAAATATAGGGGTTGAATATAGTCATAGGCATTTATGTTAAAGTCCTCTGTTATAATACAACATTTGCAAAAATTAAATATAATTTTTTCATTAAGAAAAACGAATGCACAGGCTTTTGCACTCAATAAGAGCACAATACACAATTACAAGTAATGCTCGCTCTGTGCCTTTATGAAAGCAAGAGAAATATCAAGAAACATTTAATACAACCAACGTACCTGCACAGAGACACAGCCCTGCAATTTAAGTTGGAGCTGAATCATGTCCACATCAGCAGAGGAGCAAAGCTTTTGCAGCTCTGCAGTTTTATCTTTTATTTCATCAGTAGCAACATCAATTGGTTTTAAATTAATCTGCTGTTCACAGTTTATGGGAATCCTCTTCTTCACATAGGGGAACGAGTTGGAAGCTATTAAAATGTTAAGATTGATTTACCGTCTTAAAAAATCATTTGTTAAAAATGGCTAAATTAAAGAAAACAATCTATTGTGCTTAATTCTACCCATGCTTTCTCTAGAAGATGCCTTAGGGTTCCATATACTATTTCAGGATTGAGAGAAAAATTCTCTTTATGAGACATCTCTGAGCAATCATGAATGACATATGGGAAAATGATGATTTATCACATGGACATGTTTGTGCAAACTTGTAACTGCACAGCAGAACAAAGAATGATTAAAATTTCAGTTACATGTTCCTGCTGGCCAGCTGCTACTTCTGTGTATCAAAAAGGAGCAAGACAAATAAGACAAAGTCCTACTTACTAGTCAAGATTGTACGGCGTTTGCACTGTTCTTCTATACAGCCTTGCTTTTTGCCTGATAAAGTATAAGGAGCCTCAAAGACAAATCTGTTGATATTGTGATTTCTTTCAAATTCAGTCTTTCTTTCTATGAGTTCTTTGTCATCAAAGTAGGGCTTCACATAAGTGACTTGGATATGAGCATATTTTGGATCAAGCTCTTTGACATTCACCTATAAAATAAGAAAGGTTTTATTTTTTTAATTCAATGAAATGGAAAAGGAGATTATAGGTAAACTAACTGCTTTGAGACCACACGAGGAACACTGCTATTACAATTGTGATTCCAATTGAATACACACCTGAAGGGGGTTTCTGTTCTTTTTTTTAAGGATCATTTACTTCTGATTATAAGAAGTTATAGAAACCTATTTGGAGACTACAAAAATGTAAGAAGAAAATAAAAATTATCATAATCTTACCACCCAGCAGTGACCATTATTCACATTTTTATATAATTTTTCCTATCTTTTTTCTTAAGAAACTGAGATCATACTGAACATTGTTTTATATTATGAGTCATTAAAATATATTAAAATAGTTAATTGTACATTACATGAATTCTACATTGATAAAAATATATTATCATTATTGTAGTTCTATATTGTAGTCATTGACATGACTTTTAGTCGCTGTATGGATAAACATGATTTACTGGATCATTCCCTCATTAACAGGTTGTTTTCCAACATTTTGCTATTGTAAGTTATGTTTTGGTGAACAGCCTTGTATTTAAAACTTTGTGCATTATTTTCTGATTTTTTCCTTAGGATAAATTCCTAGAAAAGAAACTGCTTAGTTAAAAAATTTATATGGTATTAAGGACTTTGATATATATTACTTCATTACAGAAAAGCTTACCACTTTGCACACCCACAGTGCTTGACATTGTAAGAATGTGTATGTACTCTTGACTGCATTATTTTAATCATATCCTATGTAGGAAGGGGACCACAAGAAAGCACAATGGTTCTACTTTAGAGACATAAAAGTATAGCTATAGTTACGGACCATTTCATCAATAGTCTAAAATCCAAGTTAAAAAGCCATGCTGCTGGAGGTAAATTCCAGAACTGTCCCTGTTGGAGCTTCAATCTGTGGACCCTAAACCCTCCCTCTGGCAGTGTCTGGAGTCACTTCAGACAATGGCCAGAATCCTCTTTCAGTGTTCTTGCACCTAAGTCTCCTTTGTGCCTTGAGTGTTGGTGACTTTGTCAATATTCTTACTTTGTGATAGACTTTTTTGTGTTTAGTGAAAGAAAAAAAAACAAACAAAAAACCTCTCAGGAAAGAGTCCCTGTATCCCTTTTATTTCTCCATATATACAAGAGGATGGACAGGGAATAGAACATTTCTTAGCATCTTTAACTTCTCTTGCACCCATTCTACTTGTTCTTTTTTTTTTTTTTTTTAACATTAGGCATACAAGCTAATACTTGTTCTTACATAGAAATCCACATGCCTATCTCCAGAAACCTTAACCTTCTTTTCTTTCATTCAAAAGCTAGATTTCTCAAGAAATACCTCAGGAGACAGTTGAGGTAATTATCTTGCTAAGACAAAACATAAAGTGAAATAATAAAAGAGGTCAAGCCTGATATCTAACCTTATAAAAGTAAAATATATGTATATTAAAACATTTCAACATTATACAGGGTATACATGAAAAGCAAAAAGACTTCTTTTTTCCCACCTAAGACTCTAGTCCCATTCCTCAGGGGCAAACATGGTTAAGGATTTTGTATGTTTAATTCCAGAAACTTCCTAAGCTTATGTAACTACATATATATGAAATATCATATATGAAACTACATATGTATGAAATATATATGAAATATCACATATGAAATATATATGAAATATCACATTTAACACAAATGTGATCATACTATCCTTATAGTCCTGCATCTCACTTTTTTCCCCCTCAATAATATATCCTGATAGGTTTATACAGACACATAAATCTCTCATTCTTTTTTTAATGCCTAGGTGACTATATACATTATATATGGGTAATACCACCATTTATTCAGCTATATGGACATTTAGATTATTTTCAAGTTTTTGCTATATGAACTTCGCAGCAGTGAACACCTTTAAACATGTATCTTTACGTGTGTACATCTATAAGACAAAATCTTAAATGTGAAGTTGTTGGGTCCAAGGACATACATATGTAAAATATGGGAAGATATTGTCAAACTCCTCTTCAAATTACCTCTCTTCTTAAGAAGATTTTGTTCTTTGGCAAGGTAAAAGAGCGTTTTTAGATTTGGGGGGATTTTTCTAAGACAAGGTCTTGCTTTGTTACTCGAGATAGAGTGCAGTGGCATCAAAGCTCACTGTAACCTCACCCTCCCGGGCTTGAGAGATCCCCCTGCCTCAGCCTCCAAGTAGCTGGGACTGCAGGCATGAGCCACTGCACCCGGCTAATTTTTCTATTTTTAGTAGAGATGGGGTCACACTCTTATTCAGGCTGGTCTCAAACTCCTGAGCTCAGGTGATCCTCCCGTCTTGGCCTCCCAGAGAGTGCTAGGATTACAGGTGTGAGCCACCGTGCCTGGCCAGAGTGTTTTTAATTTTTTACCTTCATACATTGAGAAAAAAAAATATTTTAAAAGTAGGAACTGCTTATTATGTCTGTTGCCTATGGGGAATGACTAAAATATGTATGACACATAACAAATAATGTCAGGAGTCCAGCTGTCTGATACTGGTTTGTCAGTAGCACTCTTTGGCCAGGTTTTCAAAGGCAGAATAAAGTAGAAAACTGCATGTTATTCATTACCTTTGTACTTATATGCTAAGCAATAGTGTGGGAGCAAGCCTGTGAGGAGAGAAAATCTTCTGTTGTCCAAATCTATTTTTAAATGTTTTAAGCATATGTTTAAGATAAAACCATCCCTAAGAGATGTATAAGTAAGTATACAAAATGAAGAGATTATTTTCATGGCAGACAACAAAGTGTCTTCTTCACCACTGCCATGGCTTTTTTTCACTCTGGCAATGCTGCCTACTAGCTTCTAGGTGCTTTGCACAGCACTGTACAAACCATAGTCACTCAGGAAATATTGTTGTGGGTTCAAATCCTGAACTGCATAGGTCCTTCCTATCTTAAAAATCAGCTTTCATCCTGGGCACAACAATGGCAACTAAGGACAGTAAGGCTTTCCTACTGTGCTTTGCCAAAATTCTGTCTATAGGGAGCCATGCATTTCATAGGAAAGGGCCTTTCTCACCCTGCCTTGACAGAGCCTAGTGGGATGGATGACTTTTAGAACAAGGCTCAAGGCATCTCTCCTAAACCTACTTCATTGCAAATGTAACTACCATCACTACTACTGAACTAAGGATCTCTTGGAATAAAATGTGTATCCCCCAAGATGATTTTAATCATTAAGTATGTAACTGAGAATCATGATGTACAACAGCATTTACAATAATTGCTAACTTTTATTTAGCATGCTAGCTTCTGTTATTATTAGTGAATATTTTTTATGTACCAGGAACTCTAATCATATTCCATATATTAACTCGTTTAATCCATACAATAACCCCATGAGGAAGGTACTGTTATTATCTCCATTTTACTCATGAGAAAAATGAAACACAGAAAGGTTAAGTGACTTCCCCATGGTCACACAGCTAGTGAGTGGCAGAGAATGGAGAACTGAGTCCTGGTATCTCTGATTCCAAAGCCCCTGTCCCATTTCTTTCATTATCTAGAAGGCTCTATTTCCATGCTTTTCCTCTACCAGCTAAAAAAAGAAAAAGTCAGAGGCAATACATCATGCCTGGAACTAATGATGATTTCAAAATTCAGGGCATATGTTACCTTGTCTGAATCCTGAATTATTTTGACATTCTCTGTACCAAATTTTTCACCATAAAGTTTAACAAGTCTCAAGGAAATCTCTGAGAGGCCGGTGAGCTTTGGCTCTTTATAGATGTACTCCTTTCCATCCTCTTCTTCAAAAAAAGACTATTATAAAGTTAAACAAATAATAATTTATAAATAGTATTAGCAAACAGCATTTAAATAAAATATCCTAAATAACTAATAATATATTAGAAATACATTTTTAAAAAAAGAAATACATTTTTAATAATATTACTAAAAGCCCCATGTATATATTTACCATTTTAACTTCAAATAAATGAGAATTTTCAAATTCACTGTCATATGAACAAATTATTGGCCTGAGATTTTTCTCCTTCCCTGTATACTCACCTGTTTTTTATTTGAAAGTTTTAACTACTAGATATTTAATATATACTTTAAGAAGTTTAACAGAAAATGAAACTGAGGGAGAAATACAAACCTTGTTTGTTGTATTCTTACCTAATAGAGTTAGATATGAGAACCAAAGTGAACTTTAAACTTACAAAAGAGGCCTCCTGCTGTTGTAATAGGCACTCTATTTAAATAGAATCCAAGGACCAATAATTGCTGCTATAGTAATCTAAGCATTCAAAGGTGAATATTTAAAAAAAAAACTTTATGAACTAAAGTATACTTACTTGGCCATAAAAGGCAACTCTAAAGAAAGTGCCTAAAAGTCTTTTTTTTGTGTGCATAACCTCCAGAATTTTTGTGTAAGCTCCATGAAGAGTTCTATAAACTTGAGTAAGTTTCTGAAAAATAAGAATATACAAATCAGCCTTGTCTTTTGGTTAATTACCAATTGTGTTCAAGATGAATGTACAATACAAGAATAAAGAGCACCAACACTTTCTTTTCAAAATGGTTTTGGTGGGGACATACACACCTCCCTCCTCTGTTCCAACAATTAGATAAAAGTCCTCAACAGCTTTAGGTCTAAGAGAATTTAAAACAGTCAAGTAACACTGTATTTCTTAATACTATGCTTTATTTTATTCACATTTCAGTGGCAACTTATACATTTAGAATACTGTATGCATTATCAAGATATTTTCTATATGTCTGAATTATTTTAACTAAAAGAACAGCAAAATGTTTTGCTTGAGCCCTTAGAGATATGAGAATAAATAATCCATGCCAAAACTTTTGGAGAGGAAAATTAAATGCAGATATAAAAATAAGTAATAGTGTAAGCCTCAGGGAGGGCTGCTTTTATGCACATTCACAAACATTTCCAAAGAATATATTTTTCTGCACTCCCAGAGAAAGGGAGCACACTGTGCAAAGAACATTATCAAGAATGTGAAAGATCACCTAAAGAATGGAAGAAAATATTTGCAAACCACAGATCTGATAAGGGTTTAGTACCCAGAATATTATAAAGAACTATTACCATCAACAACAAAAGGCAAACAACCAAATTTTGAAAATGGGCAAAAGAATTTAATAAACATATCTTCAAAGAAGATATTCAAAGGAAATATACAAATGGTCAAAGAAGCACACAAAAAGATGTTCAACATCACTGTCATTAAGGAAATGCAAACCAAACCACAATGAGATACCACTTCACATTTACTAGGATGGCTGTAATAAAACAAAACAAAACACCAGAAAACAAATGTTGGTGAGGATATGGAGAAATAGGAATCAATCCAAAATGCTCCAACAAGTATTTCCTTTGAGCATCATGTTGGCTCTGAAAAAGTTGTGGATTTTGGAGTATTTCGGATTTTTGATTTTTTGATTAGGCATATTCAAAATCTAGATCCCTAAAAGTGACATACCCAGAATGGGCAAATCAAGAAAGCAGAGTAATGGTTATTAGGTAATGGGGGGAAGGTGGGGAGTGATTACTTAATGGGTATGGGGTGTATTTGTCTGGGGTAATAAAAAAGTTTTAAAACTAGAGAGAGGTGGCAGATGCACAACATTGTGAATACATTAAATGCCACTGAATTGTACACTTTAAAATGGTTAGTTATGTAATATGTGAATTTCACTTCCATAAAAAAAGAGGAACACAAAAGCTTTTTTCTTTAAAATTCTTCCCATATTATCTCCTACAGCTGAGCTCAATTTGAGGGCAATGTTCCTTACTTTGGCTGCTATCTCTGATACTTTTCAGCCCATTTCACAGTGATACGCTGAAAAATTATATATCAGTGCCCTGGAAACAATGATTTTATCTCATATAGACTGCTAGAGGATTTATACAGACCATTAACATCCCTATAAAGAAATAGCAGAAGTTCCCCTATAGAAAATATAATTTCCTTTAACATGTAAAGAAGACACATTTTGCTTTCTTTCCCTATTGGTTGGCTGAGTAGCAAAACACTCCCTGGGTTTCTAATAGCCTGATCTTCATCCTAAGAGTTAGAAAATGGGGCCTTTATTTTGAAACTATTACAAAGATTCTTCAAATGTAATGCTTTGCTAGAAGGGGTAATGGCAAATCTCATTTTGCCTCAGGTTATTCTTTGCCAGTTATATGACCTACACTTAATTATTTAACTCTAGTATATTAATATCATCACTTGAACTCCACTATTATTTTTTTAGGCATCCCCCACATACAACAGAAGTATGGCAAAAAGAGGAAGAACTAGAAACTGGGAAGAAAAAGTACATTTGATCAGAGCCAGTTTGAAGCAGAGATTAGAACACTACCTGAATGATATTTAATCTATGTGGTTTCACTCCTAGAGACTTCTTCAACAGTGAAAGACTACCTGCTATATTCAATAATAAATTGCTTTTAAAAATGGCTTGAATCCTAAATCACCCAGGACAATAGTGGTAGAAATTATGATTATGAACTCAGAGGCTTGAATGTAAAAAATTCCTGTTTGGTGCTGGTGGCAACTTCTGTTCATTATATTACTTTTCTTCATTAACTACCCTTTATCAATACTTTATCTGGCAAGCCAAATTGAAAAAAAAATTCTCATAATAAGGCTATTACTAGTATCCACTTACCTCCTTCACTGTCATCTGCCAACACCTATAGTCTCCCCACCAAATTACATAGAATCATATCTTTGAAACATGGAAATTCAATAGCTTTTCTAAGTGATGGTTTAGTGTAAATAATACTGATTATTTTATGCCATGAGAGGAAGAAGGGAGGTTGCCAGATAAAAATATTTTGAGAGCCAGTGGTCTAATTTAAATTTAAATTTATATTTTGGGTCTTTTACCTTTAATTTGATTTGGAAAACATACATGAATATAAGGTAGGATTTTTTTTTTCTGAGACACAGTCTTGCTCTGTCACTGGGGCTAGAGTGCAGTGGCATCATCATAGCTCACTGTAATCTCAAACTTCTGGGCTCAAGCGTTACTCTTGCCTCAACCTTCCAAGTAGCTGGGATTACAGGCATGTGTCACCACACCTGGCTAATTTTTCTATTTTTTGTAGAGATGGGGTCTAGCTCTTGCTCAGGCTGGTCTCCAACTGGCCTCAAAGCAATCCTACCTCCTCAGCCTCCCAGGTGTCAGCCACCATGTCTGGCCCTATAAGGTAGGATTTTTTTTAAGTTTTACTTTATTTTAAATTGACGTATAGTAATTGTACATATTTATGGTGTACAATGTGATGTTTCAATACATGTATACAGTATGTAATAATCAAATCAGAGTAATTAGCAAATTCATCACCTCAAACATTTATCATTTTTTTGTGGTGAGAACATTCAAAAATCTTAGGATTTAACAGCATTTTTGAGGATTATAACTTTTGAACTGGACAAATGTGTCAAAATGATATACTAAGTTAAATATCTATATTCTACAATATTATATAAATGTCATAATATAAATGAACCTTCTATTCTTCAGAGGACACACAGTAGAGTGATGGTAACATAACTTTATTATTGCTTCTCTCAAGGCCAAAGTAAAACATATAAGCCAATGAATGATGAAACTGTTTAAATTGCCTACCTCGAACTCGCGACGTTTCTCATAAATTGGAATGATCAACTTGGAAATCTCAGAAATTACTTCATAACGCTCTGCTTTCCATAAGCCATCCACACATTGTTCTAGCAACTCCAGCAAAACTTCCTGCATTAAGAGAAATGTCCAATCAGGAATTATACAGTTTTGGACAAATAAGTTTTAAACCATTTCAAGTAAATAAAAACAAACAAGATATACTAAATTCAATGAAATGCACAGAAGGAGCATACTTGCATGAATATATTTTCTAAATCAAATATATTTGAATAAAAACATTCTTAAAATATGAAATTTGTTGACAATAAACTATTTATTTTGCTTATTCACATAATGAAGATGTTAACTATACTTGCAAATGGTAACACATTTAGAAGGGGTATATTTAAAAAAGAATATATCATTTGTTCCAAATTGAGGATGCCTGAATGTCTAACAGGGTAAATTCCACTAAGCCTATAAATATCTATATTTTTCTCTTATATTAAAACTATATTTATCTATATTATTAGTCTTAAGAAAATCTGACAACTTTTTCAAGCTGTTGGGTTAGTGATTTAGGTGTTTATTAAAATGATACAATTTTGGTAAAGAATGCTTCCCTTCCTTCTTTTTTTTTTTTTTTATTTCGGCATATTATGGGGGTACAAATTTTAAGGTTTCAATAAATGCCCATTTCCCCCCCTCCCCCCACAAGTCTGAGTCTCCAGCATGACCATCTCCCAGATGGTGCATTCCCTTCCTTCTTGACGGTTCTAAAACTAGTGAGAATAAGATAGCAACTCAAGACAGAGATCTCCAACCCTGCCAAGATAATAATAGCTGCTATAAAACAAACCCTTTTGTGAACAATCATCTTACGTTCTCAACAATGAAATGATAAAACCAATTATTGATGCTATCCCATAAGACTTAACAGTTTTTTCCTATCTTAAAGAGATTTCAGACCTATAAAACTGATTGCTAAAATGGCTCTTCTTGTATGTTCTTTAGACTAGCAGTCTCCAAACTTTTTGAGGCCAGGGACTATTTTCATGGAAGACAATTTTCCAGGGACTGAGGGTGTGTGTGGGGGGGTATGGTTTCAGTATGATTCAAGTGTATTACATTTATTGTGCATTTTATTTCTATTATTATTACATAGTAATATATAATTAAATTATACAACTCACCCTAGGTTGGGGACCCCTGACCCCTGCCTTAGGCAACTGAATTCATCTTCTTCTAGCTCCTTCACTTGTGTTTCCTATTCAGCCAGAGACAATACCTCATAAAACCCTTAGCTAGAAAACTAAGTGCAGTTTTGACTTTATCCTCTGTCGTGGGTTAAATTATAACCCCCAGAAAGATCAGTTGAAGTCCTAACTCCCAGTACCTCAGACTGTGACCTTATTTGGAAATAGAGCCATTGAAGATATAATCAGTTAAGATGAAGCCATACTGGAGTAGGGTGGGCCTCTAATCCAATATGACTGATGTCCTTATACAAAGACAGAGGCATTACAGGGAAAACATGTGACTACAGAGACAGAGATTGGAGTGACGCAGCTGCAAGCCAACACCAAGAATAAACAGCTACCCCGAGAAGACAAGGAAGGCTTCTACTCAGAGTTTTGGAGAGAGCATGGCCCTGATAAATACTTGATATTAGATTGCTAGATTCTAGAATTGTCAGATGATGGCTTTCTGTTGTTTTAAGCCACTCAATTTGTGATATTTTGTTATGGCACCCTAGTGCTATGGTCTGAATGTTTGTGCCCCCCCCCCAAATTCATGTATTAAAATCCTAACTCCCAAGGTTATGACATTATGAGGTGGGGCCTTTGGGAAGTGATTAGGTCATGAGGGCAGGGCCCTCATGGATGAGATTACTGTACTCGAAATAGAAACCCCAGAGAGCTAGCTTACCCCTTCTACCATGTAAGGACACAGTGAGAAAGTGCCATCCATGAACTAGGAAATGAGCCCTCAATAGACACTGAAAATGCTGGCACCTTGATCTTCAACTACCCAGCTTCCAGAACTGTGAGAAATAAATTTCTGTTGCTTATGAGCCAACCAGCGTCTGGTATTTTGTTATAGCAGCCTAGACAGACGATACCTAGGAAATGAATACATGCTTTCTTTACTCATCCTCTAATGAATTCATCACCAAGTCCTGCCAGTTTTACTTCCTGAACATTTCTCAAACCTTATCCTTCCTCTCCATTCCTATGCTCGTTGCTAGGGTTCACTTTACCATTTTTTAAATCCGATCTTCTTTCCTCCAGCCTTGGCACTTTCAAATATATCCTCCACACATCTACCATAGGCTTCTGATTAAAAGGCAAACCTGACCATGTCACTCTCCCCTTCATAAAATCTGGCAATGGCTCCCCATTACTCAGAGAACAAAGGACAAGCTCTCGCATTTGGCAGTCAAGGCTTGTAATGATCTGGCCAATACTTCTATAATCTCATCATTCATCATGCCAAATCTCCTGTACTTTACACTCCAGCAACAGTGAACAACTAGTACGTCCCCTGAAGCACAATGGTGAGCCTTGGTTTTATGCCTTTGCTCATTCTCTGCCCTCTGCTCTTTAATACCTTTTACTTGGTTAATCTTTTTTTTTTTTTTTTTGAGACAAAGTCTCACTTCGTTGCCCAGGCTAGAGTGCCGTGGCGTCAGCCTAGCTCAGAGCAACCTCAAACTCCTGGGCTCAAGCGATCCTACTGCCTCAGCCTCCCGAGTAGCTTGGACTACAAGCATGCACCACCACACCTGGCTAATTTTGTCTCTATATATATTTTGTTGGTCGATTGAGTTCTTTCTATTTATAGTAGAGACGGGGTCTCGCTCTTGCTCAGGCTGGTTTCCAACTCCTGACCTTGAGCGATCCACCTGCCTCCCAGAGTACTAGAATTACAGGCGTGAGCCACCACGCTTGGCTGGTTAATCTTTTTAAAATATGTTAGGTAGGACCTTTTCTAGGATCTTCTCTTGATCAACACAGGGTAGGTAAGACAGTACACATATTTTTTCTGACTCTGCTAATTTTGGGGGTAAATATTTATTATTATACTTGTACATTATCTGCACATTGTCTACATATCTGACTTTTCAAAAAGGTGTGACTCTGAGACTAGGGACAATATTTTATATTGGCTTTTCTAGTAACTAGTATGTGATACTATATAGCATGTGTTCAATAAATGTTGCTACTTGAATAAAGGATCTGTATGTTAACATTTAATAGCCAAATTAAAATTTCCAACAACAATGGAAAGGATGAACTTTGGGGGAATAAAAAATCAGTGACAAACTTAGTAGGGTTTATCCTAAGAATGTAAAATTGTTTTACAATTAGAAAAATCAATGTAATATAATACCGTATAAACCAAATAAAAGAGAAAAATTATATCTCCATCAATAGATGCAGAAAAAGTCATTTAAAAAACTCAATACCCATTCATGATATTAAAACACAGCTCAGGAAACAAAGAATAGAAGAGATCTTCCTCAATCTGATAAAGGGCATCTACTAAAAACTTAATGGCAGAATACTTTTTTCCTAGGATCGGGAACAAGTCAAGAATGTCTGCTCTTACCACTTCTATTCAACATTATGCTGGAGGTCCTAGCCAGCAATAAGGCACGAAAAAGAGAAAAGGCATACAGATTGGAAAAGATAAAACTGTCCTGTTCAGATGGCATGATTGTATATGTTGAAAATCCCAAGGAATATACAAACTACTAAAATAAGCAGATTTAGCAAGGTTGCAGGATAAAAGGTCAACATACAAAATCAATTATATTTCTCTATAGGCAACAACTTATTGAAAAATAGAATAGAAAAGCAAACTATTATTATTTACAATAGCATCAAAACATCATCTATCTATCAATAAATCTAACCAAAGACTTCTAGCCTGAAAACTACAAAATATTGCTGGAAGAAATTAAAGATGACCTAAATAAATGTTCATTGACTGAAAGGCTCAATATTATTAAGCTCTCCATTCTCTATGTAATGACATATAAATTTAACAAAATCCCTAAAAACCTTCCAATAGGTAATTTTGAGGAAATTGAAAAGATGATTCTGAAGATTATATGGAAATTCAAAGAATGTAGAAGAGCCAAAACACTTTGAAAAAGAATGAAGCTGGAAGGCTAACACTACCTGAACCTTGACCTCTATCTCATTCCATTCTCAAAATAAATTTTAGATAAATTATAGACCTAAACAAAACTCAGAAACAAAGTTTCTAAAAGAAAACGTAGGACAATACCATCAAAACATCACGACCTTGAGGTAGGCAAAGAATTCTTAGACCAGATACAAAAAGAACAAACCATTATAAAATGATAAATTGGACTTCATCAAAAAGAAAACTTTCTGCTCAATCAAAAACTCAATTAATAAAGTTAATGGAAAAGCCAAAGACTGGGAAATAAATGTGCAGCACATATATCTGACAAAGAATTTATATCCAGAATATAGAACGAACTCCCACAAATCAAGAATAAAGAAGCAAACAATGCAATTGTTGAGATAAAATTATTAAAACATTTCACAAAAGAAAAATATGAGGCCAAGGAGCACATGAAAAAGTGCCAAACATAATTAGCCATTAGGGAAATGCAAATAAAAGCCACAATAAAACACTAATTCATGCCTAATAGAATGGCTAAAATAAAAAAAGAGATTAACAACATCAGAGGATGCAGAGCAACTAGAACAAGGTCTTATCCATTGCTGGTGGGAGTATAAAATGGTGTGACTACTTTGAGAAATTCTTTGGCAATTTTATATAAAGTTAAATACACATCTTTCCTAAGATCCAGAAATTCCACTCCTAGGTATTTACTCAAGAGAAAGAAAGCATATGTAAACAAGTCATAGATAAGAATGTTTAAAGCAGCCTTATTCATATCAGCCTCAAAATGGAAACAATACAAAATTCGTCAACAGGAGAATGGATTTGAAATGTGTATATCAACAATATAGATGAATTGCAAAAACATTAGATTATGCAAAAGAAGCTAGAAACAAAAGAGTATATACTGAATGACTCCATTTTTATGACACCAAAACTAATGTATGTTGATAGAAATCAGATGGTAGGGGCAGGGAACCTGCTTGGAAATGGGCACAGGGAACTTTTTCTGCAGGAATAGACATGTTCTGTTTCTTGTTTCTGGAGTGGCAGTATACGTGGGTGCATACAAGTGTCAAAATTCATCAAACTGTTCACTTAAGATGGATGCATTTCATCGTACATTAATTATATCTTTTAAAACTGTTGCATATGACTCAAGGGACATCATTTTAAAAAAGAAAAAACTTGCAAATCAAGTAAAAAATACATTTTTAGAAACAAATTGGATTTCATTATTATTGGTTTAACTTGTGTATTTAAATACAAATACTAAAAGGATTTGTATTTTTCATTTCAATATAATTCCTAAATCAGTGTCCGTTTTTTTCTTTTCCATTAGCTAGGGCAGTAGTTCCCAACCTTTTTGGCACCAGGGACCATTTTCATGGAACACAATTTTTAGATGGACCAGGGAGCAAGGGGATGGTTTTGGCATGATTCAAGCATATTACATTTATTGTGCACTTTATTTCTATTATTATTACATTGTAATATAAAATGAAATAATATGTATGTTTTTATTTGCATTTCCCTAATGACTAATTATGTTTAGCACTCTTTCATGTGCTCCTTTCAACTCACCATAGGTTGGGGACCCCTGAGCTAGGGCATGAGGAAGAAGCCTTACTACATAAACTGAAATACAAAACTGCACTAGGTAGAATGTGATTCTATCTATAAACATAAAAGTACATATAAATTACTATTACTACTGTAGAACGCAAAAAAATTCCAACAAACGTGTTTACACAGAAAACTGATTTCAGTTCTTAACTAGTATGAAGAGTTACTGCTCTCCTTGAGAGTATAAAAAAGGGTCAGGCTCAAGGCCATTTCTATGAATAAGTTAAAGCAGCTGTTTGGAAGGTAAAGACACAAGTTCAGGCTGGGTGTGGTGGCTCACACCTGTAATCCTAGCACTCTGGGAGGCCGAGGCGGGCGGATTGCTCGAGGTCAGGAGTTCGAAACCAGCCTGAGCGAGACCCCATCTCTACCAAAAATAGAAAGAAACTAATTGACCAACTAAAAACATATATACAAAAAATTAGCCGGGCATGGTGGCTCATGCCTGTAGTCCCAGCTACTCAGGAGGCTGAGGCAGGAGGATTGCTTGAGCCCAGGAGATTGAAGTTGCTGTGAGCTAGGCTGATGCCATAGCACTCACTATAGCCTGGGCAACAAAGTGAGACTCTGTCTCAAAAAAAAAAAAAAAAAAAAAAAAGATACAAGTTCAGTTGTGCTGAACCATTTATCTCTCATGAAATCCTCTGAATCTGTGCAATCAGCCTGTAAAAACTGGAGGTCTCTGGGAAATCATTTGAGTCTAACTAAGATCCAGAAATGTGCATTAACTTCACCAAGTCTTCACAGTCAAGGATTGTGCTGGAATTTAAATTCCAGTACCTTGATTCTGTGTTTTGATTAATTCAGCAAACATATCTACTCGTTGAGGTCTGCAGGTAAAAAGCATACCAACTTGCCATTAAGAAACCTCACTGCCAAGTAGGTCAATGAAAAACTTGACATTTATGTAGTATTTAATGACTTATAAAAGAGCTTTCACATAACATATATTGTGAAGTGACCAGGGTATTATTATTATTATACACATATATTTTTTTGAGACAGAGTCTCACTCTGTTGCCTGAGCTAGAGGGCCGTGGTGTCAGCCTAGCTCACAGCAACCTCAAACTCCTGGGCTCAAGCGATCCTTCTGCCTCAGCCTCCCGAGTAGCTGGGACTACAAGCATGTGCCACCATGCCCAGCTAATTTTTTCTATATATTTTTAGCTGTCCAATTAAATTCTTTCTATTTTTTTTTTAGTAGAGATGGGGTCTTGCTCTTGCTCAGGCTGGTCTCGAACTCCTGAGCTCAAACGATCCACCTGCCTCGGCCTCCCAGAGGCGTGAGCCACCGTGCCCGGCCAGGATAGTATTATTATTGTCCTTACTTTACTGATGAGGAGACAGACCCATGTAGAAATAGTAGATAAAGTTTATAGGCTTATTGTTTTAGCTAAATGAACTAGAGCTAACTTGAGATTTGCTTCTATTTACAAACACTGTACACATATATATATACTGAGCTATACTCTTAAATTTCTATGCTTAATATATGTTACTCTTCAGTATTAAAGACTTACAAAATTTGAAATGTAATCCTTAACTGAAATAACTGGCATACCTACCCACTATTACTTGGTAGACTATTATTTTATTTGTGCCATCTGTGGTCACTAAGAGATGAATATAGCCCTTTGGTTTCATGTTGATATTAAGTTAAAAATATGTATCAGTGTCTGTGGTACCAAATCAAGAAGGAATGGCATGGTGTCTTTCTTTTTTTTTTTTAAGAGACAGAGTGTGTGTGTGGGGGGGTGTCAGAGTGTCTTACTATGTTGCCCAGGCTGGATTCAAACTCCTGGACTCAAGTAATCTTCCCACATCAGCCTCCCAAGAAGCTGGGACTACAGGCATGTGTGACTGTGCCCGGCTCTTGGTCTCTATTGATTTAAAGCCTTAGTTTGTTTTGAATATTTGCATGGGTGCAGGGCACACATTTTGCAGTAATATACTTGAGTGAGTGAACCTCATACAGAAACCCTCTGCTATCTCTTCCTTATTCCTCAAATCTTGTAATACAATCTAAGAAATAAAACTGCCTGCTCTTCATTAAAAAAATCAATTCACAAAGTACTTATAAAGTATGTCACTGTAACATTAACCTGATTGCTTCTTATGTTTCTTTTGTTTGTTTGTTTTTGAGACAGGGTCTTACTCTGTCTCCTGGGCTAGAGTATGGTGGTGTCATCATAGCTTACTTCAACCTCAAACACCTGGGCTTGAGCAATCCAGCCTCAGCCTCCCGAGTAGCTGGAACCAGAAGCATGTGCCACCATGCCTAGCTAAATTTTTCTATTTTTTGTAGATATGGGGTCTTGCTCTTGCTCAGGCTTGTCTTGAACTCCTGGGAGCGATCCTCCCACCTTGGCCTCTCAAAGTGCTAGAATTACAGGCATGAGCCACCATGCCCAGCCTGCTTGTGTTTCTTAATACAACTTTCTAGAAAATGTAATTTTATGGGAATGTAACCCCTTTAATCTCTCTGCTTCTGTGTGTTTCTTTTTTCCATGTTCCCACTCTTTAATTATGAACTTTTTCCCATGGTTCAGTCCTTGGTTCTCTAGTCTTCCCTTGCTATATTAAGTCCTATACCAAGCCTGCTTTGGTTCTCACAAGGATATGACTTCCAGATGTGTATTTCAAACACTCATCCCTTTCCTTCGATTCAGTACTGCATTTCCAATGGCCTGTTATTTCCAGTTTGATAACCTTTCACTTCAAAATCAACTGACATCTAAAATGAAATTCATAATTTTCTCTGCAAAACCATCTATCATTTCTCCTTAACATCCAAACCCGAAATCTTGGTGCTATCTTTGACTCTTCCCCTCGCACAGCCAGAAAGTCTTCCCCTCCTTTCCTCAGTGTTTCCTAAATCTGTCACTATCCTGGCTTATGCCCTAATTGCCTCACATCTAGATAATTATGACAGCCCTTTCTCTAGCCTCTGCCTCCGGCTCTATCATCTACCTCTAATCCATCTCTCCACAGTATCACCAAATTAACCTTCCCTCTCCTTGCTTTCATCTGGTCATCATCCTGCTCAAAAACCTTTGATAGCAATTCAACATTCTACTGAATAAAGCCCATACATTCTAAGTTTCTCAAAATTTGGCCTCAACTACTACTTTTCTCTATGTGAACCCACTGGTTTAACCAAAAGGATCCACTCACTGTGCCTCAAACATGCCTTATAGTGTCCTACCTCTTAGCCTTGGTTCCCTGCTTGTCTCCTTCTATGTTAGAATGCCTTCAGAGTGCTCTTGTTTTTCAAAGCCCCCTCTAATCATACCTCCTCTGTTCTATCTCAGCTCAAAGGTATCTCTTTTACCTTTGACTTTGCATGGCACAAATTATCTACATTATTCAAATACTATTCAAAAGTCTTGGTTATTTTTTTTTCCCGTTTCATGCAGGTGTATTATCTCTTCAGGTGGACCTTGGAGGTCAGGGACCAGCCATATCTAATTATTTTATAGCTCTTAGATCACCAAATCCTGAGCCTTGCTCCTAAGTCAGTGCTTAATTCTTTGTTGGCTGATTGACAGTGGAAGTTATTTTCTATCCATCTTAAGTTCAGAGTAGAAATTTTCCATTTTTAAATACTTTTATGCATACTCCGCTTAGCAGAAGTAAAAGACAATGTTAACTCTTATTTTTTTTTAATGAAGATTTTTCAAAGTATATTGACTGAGATCTGGTTACTGAGATGGTGATTTGAGGATCGTAAATGTTGCATTTCTAAAGCTAAATGATGGGAATGGTTCCAGAGATAGGGCTGTACATTCTAAACAAGGATATCTTTACCCTGGGCAGTTTTAATACTCGAAGTTCATTTATCCTTAATTACCTTCAAAATTAAGTTAGCTGTAATAACTTTTTCATATAAGTAAATTTTAAGAAGTGAAATTTATATAACTGGCAACACAGGCTCTAGAATCTTACTTCACTATAATGGACATCCATCATCCCAGCATCTTCTTTCATTGCTCCTTCTTCTTCTACATTGGGAGTAATTTTCTTGAAGGCTGAACATCCATTAGGGAATAATTCTGTGTGAATAAAAAACAGTGGGGTAAATTTATAAAAAAGTGTTTGATAAATAACAGTGAGCCTTATAGGAATTGGAGATTTTTAAATAAATAGATATTTTTATAAGGATCAAAGTCCTAAGTACAATTTTCTGTTACAAGAAAGAATTTTACAAATTATTTCCATCTACTATATATTCTATCGACCTTTTTCCCAAAAGGTGAGCTTAAGTCACTTACGATAAAGTTTCATTCTTTGACTATGCATTACCTTCAATGGTTAGTATAGATGTTCCCCTAGTGTAATCTAAATAAACATTTTTAGTTAAAACTTTAATCCTAAGTACATTTGTGATCCATCATGTAAACAAGAGGGCAGGTACTTTTCAGGTAACCAATGAATGCTCTTTAGTGGTTAACATCTAATGCCTAATTGCACCTAGAATTGGGAAAGGAAGTGAGTCAATGGAGGAGGCGTAAGCCTAGGATTTGTAAGAGAGGCAAGAAATAAACAGATGGCAGATAAAACATCCTTGGAGAAAAACAGAATGGGCACTGGAAAGAACCATAGCTTCTGGAGTTAGATAGACCCAACTCTATCACTCACTGTGTGATTTTGGACATGTTTATCTTCCTGGGACTGCAACAAGTTTTATCTTCTGTAAAACAGGGATACTTTATGAGAATTAAATGAAATGTAAAGTGTTTAGAACAGAGCCTGGCATATAAGAAGTATCCAATGAATTATTATTACCAAACAAGCTTACCAATAAACAAACTAGCTTTCCCAAGATAGAATGAAATACTTGCTGCCAGATGGACCCCTAGGAAATAGGAAGTGAACTCAAGCTGAGAACAGCTGCTGTAGGATTGTGGACCAAATTGTTACTGGCAAGCAAGAGTCTAGGTATAGAGGCTACATAATTGATCTAGAGATTGTGAAACATGTTCAAACATTCCTCCTGTGGCTACCTTTACCCTTATCTAAGTGGGCTGTAATTTTAGAATTCAAGGAAAATTCAGCTTCCTTAACAAAAGAATCTGTTAGCCAGTGAGAAAGTTTCCTTCTGATAGTGGCTGGTCACAAAGGGAACAAATAGCAATTGTAATCTATTGTCCATAACCTCTCTAATAGTGATGCTTAGAGATAATGACCTTTACTCACAACTAAGTATCTGGTACTCTTCCTGGGGTTAGAGGTTGGGGAAGGAAGAAGGGAGATTTAAGAAAGCCGGATCTCATGTTCAAGAGATTTCTCAGAATTCTGGTGGAAAAAAGGTCACGTGTCAGGGCTTGGATTTTGCCAACTCTTCTTGTCTAAATGAAAGATAATTAGACCTACATTTTCTGGGTAAGATGCCTGATAGAACATGAGTTATCAAATAGGCATTGCACTTTCATGAGAGAGAGATGAAAGTCTGGTAGGGAAAGATGGGGTTATTCTGAAGTACTTTTTTAAGATGGGAGAAATACAAGGGAGTAGTCAGAGGGTTTCCATTAAGGAAGAAAGAGAAGCAGAAATGAAAGTGATATTTACTTTGACTTGCCAAATTTTAGGGCCATTTTTGTTCAAAGAAATTAGATAATAAAAGGCAATGAAGATAGAACATGTTTCATGTTTGAAGATAAGCATGTCTAAAATGGTCTGTTACAGACCTTTAGAGTATCAGACCACAAAAAGATAAGGAGCTTGTACCAGAATGCAAATCAATTCCTCATTTCCTTGTTTAATAAAGTCTATCTATTAAAACAAAGTCAGCTGACATAAACATTCGAGTGCAGATGTCTTTACTAAAAATGACTTTTGTTCCTTTGGGTAGATGCGTAAGTGCTATTGCTGGATCAAATGGTAGTTCTACCTGTAGCTCTTTGGAGGCCCTATCTCTACAAGAAAAAAATACCAAAAAATACAAAAATTAGCTGAGCATAGCAGCACATGCCTGTGGTCTCAGCTACTTGGGACACTGAGGCCAGAGAATCACTTGAGCCCAGGACTTTGAGGTTGCAGTGCACTATAATGACACCAATGCACTCTAGTCCCAGTGACAGAGAAAATCCCTGTCTTAAAAAAAAAAAATCCTAAAGTGGGTTTTAACATCTTTGTTCCTGAGATAAAACATAATTTTCCCTACTTCTACTTAAGATACACAGAAGAAGACTTTCTCCCAAGATGCATTGGAGGTATCCAATGTTTACGGCAGCACAATTCACTATAGCAAGGATGTGGAAACAACCCAAGTGCCCGTCAGTCCATGACTGTATTAATAAAATATGGTGTATGTATACAATGGAATATTACTCAATTATAAGACACGATGGTGATCTAGCACCTCTTATATTCTCCTGGATAGAGCGCTCCGAGTGAGGTATCACAGCATGGAAGAATAAGCACCACATGTACTCTCCATCAAACTGACACTGACTGATCAACAATAAGGTGCTCACACAGTAGTAATATTCTTTGCGAGTGGGGGGTTTGGGGTGGGTAAACTCACAACTAATGGACGTGGTGAGCGTTGTAGGGGTGGACATCTCAAATCATGATTGGGATGTGGCAAAGTCATAACATGCAACCAAAATGTTTGTACCCCCATAATTTACTGAAATAAATTTTAAAAAAAAGCTGAACTAAACAAAGTATTTAGTGACATGGCTGATTTACATTCAGGACAATAGTCCTCATCTTGCTGTAAACAAGTAACAAACTGTTCTCCGACTAGCAGCTGGTCTGTGGGACACTCTGTGTAGTAGCACATTAGAATAACTTGTTGAAATTTAGAAGAAAACATCCCACTTGATCACATGTATGAAGTCAAAAGCTAGGCAGTAAAAAGGAAGCAGGTCCAAGACTTGAGTGAAGAGATAAAGAATATAGTTTTTATCAAAGAAGAGGGTCAATCTCTAAAGGACTTGGGTAGTGAGGTCTATGACTAGGGAAAAAAAATCCTGTCTGTTCAGAGGAATTATTACTTTAAGTTAATTATTCCCAAATGTAGGGTTTTTCTGGAATGCTGTGATTTAGGGGAGGACAAAGAAAGGCATACTCCTATGCCTGAGATGAGATAAGGCTAAAAGCATCTTGGGAGAAAGTCTTCTTCTGTGTATCTTAAGTAGAAGTAGGGAAAATTATGTTTTGTTTTGTTTTGTTTTTTTTTTTTGAGACAGAGTCTCGCTTTCTTGCCTAGGCTAGTGTGAGTGCCGTGGCGTCAGCCTAGCTCACAGCAACCTCAAACTCCTGGGCTCAAGCAATCCTCCTGCCTCAGCCTCCCGAGTAGCTGGGACTACAGGCATGTGCTACCATGCCCGGCTAATTTTTTCTGTATGTATTACTTGGCCAATTAATTTCTTCCTATTTATAGTAGAGACGGGGTCTCGCTCATGCTCAGGCTGGTTTCGAACTCCTGACCTCGAGCAATCCGCCCGCCTCGGCCTCCCAGAGTGCTAGGATTACAGGCGTGAGCCACCGCGCCCGGCCGAAAATTATGTTTTATCTCAGGAACACAGATGTTAAAACCCACCTTCGGAGTTTTTTTTTTTTTAATTATTTTTTTTATTTTGGTATATTATGGGGGTACAGATTTTAAGGTTTCAATAAATGCCCATTTCCCCCCCTCCCCCTTTTTTTTTTTTTTTTTTTTTTTTTTAGACAGGGATTTTCTCTGTCACTGGGACTAGAATGCATTGGTGTCATTATAGTGCACTACAACCTCAAACTCCTGGGCTCAAGTGATCCTCTGGCCTCAGTGTCCCAAGTAGCTGGGACCACAGGCATGTGCTACTATGCTCGGCTAATTTTTGTATTTTTTGGTATTTTTTTCTTGTAGAGATAGGGCCTCGCAACATTGCTCAGACTGGTCTCAAACTCCTGGCCTCAAGTGATCCTCCCACCTCAACCTCCCAAAGTGCTACCACTTTTGGAATTTATTGTCCACATCATCTAATGTAAAGACCACTATTGTGGCTTTTCAGCTTCTGAGTCCAATATTCTCGTGTTATCTTAATTCATATGCCTGATGATACCTAGGGAAGAGATATATCCCTCCCCGTTTTTCCTTATCAATACCCATCAATATCCAATGATATCAGGACCCTTTTGTTAGTTCTAGAAAAATTTTTCAGATGAAACACGTTGCTGAATTTGGAATTGGCCAGAGTATACATCCCAACAGAAGGAGGCATCTGTGTAAGGGATCTCATGTAGACCTATGCCTCCTTGTATAAGGGGGTTCTAGAAAGTCTGCCATCAGTCTCTCTGGTATTTGACCTGGATTCTTGACCTTGCCCTTCATAGCTGTAGCTTTTATATTCCTGACTGCTGTCCTAAGGAAAGCAAGATGGAAACTGTCAAGATAGAGACCATGACCTTGAATACAAGTTACCCCATGAAAAAAGTGGGGAGAGGTTGGAAGGATGGAACAACAGTCCAACTCTTGATAAAATATGACTGCTAGTCAGAAGAAGGATAAGAGGTTAAGAGTCCTGAGGAGAGGGCAAAAAGGGAAAAGGCTGTGGCTGGGGGGAAAAAAAACAGAAGAATAAAAAAGCTTTGTGGAACTTAAGCTATCAGATCCTGGGTACAAAGACTTGGGAAACAGAGCCACATTACCCTAAAAGAAATGAAAAAAAAAAAAAAAAAAGACTCTATGGGAAAGGGAATTCCTTTTTCTGGGTTGAAGGAGGAACCCTCCAAGCCTTGAAGCTTTGCTGAACCTAGGATGCTATTTGGTGGTAGAAGAATGCAGAGACTTGACTCATATTCCCTGGAGAAAACAGTTGAACCCTCTCTCAGGAAAAGAAAAAAGAGAGAGAAGTACATATAAATCTAGCCTCCAGAGAATATAATCTAGAAATTTTGAGGTTTTCAACAAAATCATAAGGAAATTTTGACTTGTTTTTTATATTTGGGGGGATAAGAAGAATAACTAAACTAAGTATCATCACTTCAAGGTGACTTCGGTAAAGGGAAGAGCATGATAGTCCTTACGGTCTCTCTGGTAGAGTGAGCAAGAGCTTTGTCAGGCTGCCTGGAAGAAGTCTGGGGGGAGGGGCAGGGAGAACTACATACCTCCTTCCCTTTTCCCTGTCAGTTCAGTGCCTGAGACAATGAAGAAAAGGATCTGGAAATGGTCCCTCACTGGTATTGTATAGGGCCCCAAGCCCTTGCCTGCTTAGGCAACTATCCAATAAGATAATTTTTTTTCCTTAACAACTGTAAACAGTATAACATCTGCTTCCAATGCGTTAACTGCTAAGTAGTAATTTATTCCAATTTTTTTTTTCAATTTTTATAATGGACTTCAAGAGAAATGGCTTAGGAATTTGAGAAAACAGAAAATTTGAACAGGAATTTGAGAAAAAATTTTTGGCAATGGATATGTGCCAGGGATTAAAAATCATAAATGGGTTTGTGTCAGGGATTTAAAACTCTCCTTCTCTTTTGTGTTCATTATATTAATAGAAAACAGAGTTCTACAGCTGACCAATTATCTTTGTTAAATAAGTTGGTCTTAAGTGTAAGTTCAACTTTTTTTTTTCAGTTCTGTACTCAAATGTATTTTTATCTATTCTGCAAATATCCAGGTTTTTAGACTTCAAAAAAGTCCACTAATACTGGTGGATTGTGGTATTCTCAAACTGGATGGCAGGTTAACAGATTAAGTTTATAATTTATATTTTAAATTAGTAGTTGATCTTGATATAACCATTATAGTTTAATCAGCTAATTAACAAAAAAGGTGTTTTGGATCATATGAATCATTGAAGCTAAGGGAGGGAAACCCTGAGAATTTTAGAATAAGGTTTTCAAATTTAAGCAAGTAGAATTTTCCAGGTTTAAAAATAGATGATACCTATGAATGAATATGTAAACTTCTCTTAATTTAAGCATTATTTTTTGTTTAAAATTCAAAACAATATTTTCTCCTCAGCAAAGTGCTCTTTGATTTCTATGAAGAATAAATTCTAGAAAACCTTGAGGGTATTATGAAATACTTAAATGACTAGTTAGAAACATTATTTCTACTTGTTGAAACACATCACAGTTTGGTGTTTAGGCTTGCTGCTTCATGCTAATGTCCAAAAAAACATAGCAAGAAGTTTAATTTCTACAACTTAAGGATAATGAAGATACATAATTCTTGATTTTTGCTTAGTTTTAAGTTCTTTGTACTTGTGAAAACACGCCCCCCCACCCAAATTCTAGGGAAATAGTTTTAATATATTTAACTATTTTCAAAATCTAAAGGGTTATGCAGTTTTATACTTAGTGGACATAAAACTCTTATTTCAGATTTCTACTAATTAGAAAGATGAGATAATATTAATCTAATTTCTCTGAACACATACCTAAAATCATATTTAATACTGTATTTAAGATTCTCATATTTGTCAGTTTATTAGGAATTACAGGTGTACAATTTCAATATTTATTTATATTGTGATTCTATGGGCATACCAGTGATTTAAAAAAAAAAAAAACCAAACTCAAATGGGGCCTTATTTTGATAACTAATCTCCTTTTTCCATTTCAAAACCACAGATGTACAAAAAGAAAACTAAAGTATACCAAGTTCAAACAAATGGATTGTTAAAAACAATTTCAGTATCAAAGTATTCATTTAAAATATAAGCAAAATTAATCTACATTTTAATTGTGATATTATATTTTCCGAAAAGATTCTCCACATGGGTGTTATATGACATAATTGAGGACTGAGCCATAGATGTAAAATGAAAGGTACACAGTTAACTGTAGGAATTCTGGAATTAAGAAACAAAACAAAACATGGTTGTGTTCCCATAGCCAAAGCCAGAGTGATCTGACTCCCGTAAGTTGGTTTCACTTTGTCCTATTATTACTCGTTCAACAGCCTTATAGGAAGTAGCCTGGACATTGTGATAGACAGTGGGAGATTCCTTGATTGCAATCTTTACTGCCAATCAATTTGTAAACCTAACTCAACTGTTTTCCTATTTGAGTAGGTACAGCAGTCAACAACACTGTTTTTGGAAAGGGAAGCTTTCAGGCAGATTCCCTAATTAGGAATCTTGAATTAGGAATACAGAGCTGCTGGCTCCTGACGCCCTTCGAGGGCATGACTCCTTTTAAAACCCAGGTATCAGTGTCCTAAAGTGGCCGGAGAGACATAGTATGTGGGCAGTTGGTGGTGAAGCTGACGCACATGAGGGAAAAATAAGTGATCTGTATTATCCTGAGCTTCTCATGAGCCCTGAGAAGAATTTAATTGTGGCAATCTTCCAGGGAGAGACAGTCTTGGAAAATAAACATTGGGCATCAGGCCTAGCCCTGTACTATTTAATTTATTCTTGTAGCCTCTAATGAAAGCAGAAGGCAAAACGAACAATCCAGTCTTTTTTATACATACACATGACAACTTCTGTTTAACACTGAGTGAGATTGAAGGTGAACATATTTTTCAGAGCTCAATTATATCACATTCACAGTTACAAGCTACAAAGATAAAAACTCTTGTGCTGAGTGGAATCCACCACCCCCAATCTCTAAGAATAGAAATATCTTACTTTTTCGATGAAGAAACTCTGCAACCAGAGCTGCTACGTGGACATAACACATGGCAGCCTAAAAAGAGATGACAAGGAAAGAATTCTCAGAATGTGCCCAAGAGGTTTTGAAAGGTTTTGGTTAGAACAAAGTAGGTCTTAAGTACTCACCTCTGAAAAATCTCCATTTTTAATATGAATCTTGGCCATGCTATCTAGCCAGGTTTTCCTGAGCTCGGGGGTGCTTGCATAGGACTTTGCTAAACTATACTGGAGGTCAATTAGCATCTCAGGGTCTTTCTCATGCTCCTTCATTTGGGCAGTGGCCATAAGAACAGTACGGATTCTCTTGGTCAAGTCTTTGACTTCTGTGGGAAAAGCAGTTGCCTAATTTCAAAACAAACAAAAGACATGTTCAACAATAATATTGGAGTGCTCTAAAGCTTGGCATCCAATCATGACAACATAATAATGATTTTTACTTCTTATTATAATTCTTGGTATTGCATGTAGCATGTCTAGCATCTTAAATGAGTTATTTAAAAATGTGTAACTATCCCAGGCTTCAAGGGCTCTAACCTTGGTGCGGTATAATCACAGTACATAGAAGCATGACCTTTGGAACCAGGCTACCTGGCTTTGAGCCCCAGATCTTCCATTGTAAATTCCATAGACATGGGAGTGATCCATGTTTGCCATTTACTTATAACACTAACTAAAAATTGACAGCTACTATGTATCAGGCACTGGTCTTGGTGCTTTGCATGTTTCAATTTTTATAATAACCCTCTAAGACTCAGGGGTCCTCAAACTTTTTAAATAGGGGGCCAGTTCACTGTCTCTCAGACTGTCGGAGGGCCATTCGAGAGTGCGGCGCACATTCCACACATGCGCACTGTGGGCCTGGGACGAGTTGGCTGCTAAGCAGAACAGGCAGCAGTGGCAAAAACACCCGGCCGGCCAGATAAACGTCCTCGGTGGGTTGCATGTGGACCAAGGGCCGTAGTTTGAGGACCCCTGCCTAAATTAAGAACTATTGTAAGTCATCTTAACCAGTGTGAAAACTAAGGCATAGAGCAATTAAGTAGCTTGGCCAAAGTCTCCCAACTGGTAAGTAGAAGCAGGATTTACATACAGGCAGTCTGGCTCAGTGCTGGTGCTCTCAGCCCCTCTTCCATGCTGATGATCATACCTCCTCCATCCACTGACTATCACATACTAAGGAGAAAGCCGTACTGTGAAAATTTCTATTTATACAAATGAGAGGTCATGAAACACAGAACACTCCAAAAAGTTCAAAGAAATCATTAACCTTTCAAAGTGTTGGTTTGGGCCTAGAGAACACCAATTCAGAGTTTCCTCTTCACCCTAGCCACTGCTAAGAAAGACCTATCACTTCCTCTTAACCCCCACTGGAGTAATCACGATTATCTGTACGATTTAGAGAAGATGAGGAAGGGACAGGCAGAAGGGTTAAAGAGCTTTTTAATCTGAATATAATAAGATGTGGAGGAAATGGTTTTAAAAACTGCCACCACGCTGACTCTTAAAAATAATAATTATATACATAAAGTCCCTTCTTATACATTAATAGAGATCCCATTTATTGCGGGAAAGGCATATTTTGTTGTAATAGGGTTAATTGGTAATGACTGCCTTAACAAAATAAAACTAAGTCATTTCAGAAATGAGTCAAGGAAAATAAAAAGATTTCTTATCAAGGAAAGCCAACACAAGCTCCATTTACTTAGAAAAACTTGCCAATCTACCTATATAACGTGACATTAAGGATGTAGACAATTGAGCATAAATGGTACAAGTTATTTCTATGCTCATGGGATTAGCTAGAGCATATATTGATCCCTTGGGGAACTAGAAGAACTAGCTGGAAAGCAAACTTTCCCAGCGTGAGAGTGGCTGGCACTACTCAGTGTTTTTATGCAGCACAAGCAACGTTCCTATGGGAATATTTTTTTTGGTACATGGATTATACACATCCCAAACATCAAGTATGCTGTGACTGTTAGCTTTTAATTTTTCTTCAGATTTTACACGATATTGTCAAATTATTCTGGAAGATGACCTTTCCCAAGAATAAGCATGATTCATTCTTTGGGAGGAAAAGTCCTCTATTGGCAAAGGATTTTTCTTCCCTTGTGTATTCATATCGCTGAAGATCAGAACCTGCACTCCATGCAACAAAGCAACAGATGAATTTTTACAATGCTATAGGTTGTTAAGCATATAGGAAAGAAAAAGAAATGGTGATGGGGTCTTGGGTTTTGCCTCAGCTATCTCTTAAGAATGACAGCCTTGGGCTTGGATTTGCTAATAAATACCTATGGCAAGCTACAATCAGTTAACAGATATTTTTTTTTTTTTTGAAACTCACAAAACCATCAAATAATGAATCCCTTCTGTGCCATTCCTCATCCATTGGCAATGGATCAGGCAGCTGTTAGCTATTGTAAGAAATGAGATTATGTAGATTTTCAAACTCAGCACTTAATTAACCAATATTAAAAATGGTGACAACTGTTAAGAAAGAAAGGTTCTATTTATTTTCTGAGAAAGTTTAGAAATCAAGTCAGAAAAAACATTCAGATTCTACTTGCTGTAACACACTGTGTTTACACAGTATATTCCTTCATCCATCTATTCAAATAATATTGAATGTCTGCTCTGTACCACACAGTGTTTTTGGTTCTAGAGATACAATGGTATACAAGACAGAGCCCTTAATCAAGGTTCACATTCCATATACACTACACAAGCAAAAGTTGTGAATCCAATGATAGCTTAAGAGTTTAAACTTCCCTGATAGTGAGGTGGTTCTAATTTTTTACTTGAAATGAGAACTTACCTTCATAGGTCTGTCACTATTTGCAAAATTATTGATAATGAATAAAGACTCCTGAAATCTTGATCCTCCGCTTAGTGCAACATCAGCTATCAACTGGCTTACAGCAATTATTATCTGTGGGAAGAAGCAAACATTGTTTTCCAAATGGCTTTTGAACAAAGGCTGCTTACTCTCATCATTGTACAAGCACAGAGGCACTCATATGAAATGTTTCTTTTAAAGATTCTACAATGTAGCAACATAATCTATTTTCTTCATGCATGAGGAGGTCCCAGTTTCAAATTTTATTGGGACCGTTCTTGGTTAGATGTAAATCTTCAAAACTCAAAACATAGCTAGATCTAAAAGCTTTCATAATAACGAACTGATACAATGGTGGGCAGGTCTCCACTTTCAATATGCTTGCTAGGTAGTAGCTATGGCAAAGTTGGGAATAAATGATATATTTTTTATGGTTTCTCATCCCTTTTTAAGTAATCTATTTAAGTATGCTGGATTTCTGAGTCAAGTGCCTCAGCAACCTTCTTTGTTTTTGACCAGGGCTTACCTAGTTTAACAGCAGTTTATGCAACAGCCTTTAATGGTACTTTTTGATTTCTCACACTCCCTTGGATGAATGCCAAAATGATTCATGCCAAGATATTAATGGTTGGATGCCTTACCATTGGTCCTGGGAAGCAGGATATAGTAGTAGCTATGGGTGTGGGCTCTAGAGTCAAACTTCCTTAGATTCAAATCTTGACTTTATCAATTATTTACTGTGTGGCTTTGGGAAAGCTATTTAACCTTTCTGTGTCTCACGGTTCTCATTTGTAAATGGGGATAACAATCTCTACTTTATAGAGTTGTTATGAGGATTAAAGAGATCATAATCATAGTACTAGTTAACCCTTTATCAAGCATTTACTATGTGCTAGACACTATTCTAAGTCTACACATTTATTAATTCACTGATATTTAAATAAGGGACTTGAGAGAACTGATGCTTTGACCCAATAGAAGAATCCTAATGAGGAATTTTAAGCACACTGACATACTAATTAGAGCAATGTTGCGAGGAACAGTGGATTTTCTAGTGACACTTCATGTATTAATAAAAGCAAATAGCAAAATGTGTAATGCTGGCTGGCTCTAATATGCAAACTTATATAGCAGATTTTTATAGAAAGCATATACAGACATTCCTGTTAGATTTTCACATCACTGATGACACTTTTCAGAAAGCTGTTTATGGTTGTTTCCCGATTAATAACCCTGTCTCCATTAAAAAACTCCAATGGGACAAATCACAGCAGTGAAATTATAAATAGGACCAAGGATTTCCCATATGACAAAGTGGCCTACTGAGCCAAGAAGTCCCAATTGTGATTTACTTCAGAGCTACTTCATCAAATAAGCACAGAAATGTAGAGACGTTAAATAATAACTATCATGTAGTAAGTGTTTATTATGTGCTAGGTGTGCCAGACACTACACATACTTTATTTTTAACCCTCAAGATAAGCCAGCAAGGTGATATATACTTGGCCTAATTTTACAGATAAGGAAACTGGTTCAGCAAGATTGAGTAAACTGCCTAGGGTCACACAGCAAGTAAGTAGCTAAGCTATGATTTAAGTCCATGTTTTCCACTAAACCTTGAGACTTCTTTCACTTTAAATAAGTGGGCATGCTACAGCATGAAAAACATAAAGTGCATTATTACCTGTTTAGTCATATCTAACAAGCTTGTTGTTTAATCATATAAAAGCCCTATGAGCTAGGTACTAATATTTACCCCTATTTTACATTTAAAGAAACTGGAACAATGAGAGGCTAAGAAAGTAACTTGCTCCCTGTCACACAATGTGCGGTAGTCCTAGAATCTGAATTAGATCCTATGCTCTTAAAACCTATAGAGCAGCTCTGTCCAATAGAAATATGATGGGAGCCACATATGTAATTTTTAATTGTCTAGCAGCCATATTAAAAAGAGACACAGGTGAAACTTATAATACATTTTACTTAACCTAATACATCCAATATATCATTTTTATATATAATCAATAAAAGACAATTGATATATTTTACTTTTTATGTACTTAGTCTTCAAAAGCCAATATGTATTTTATACTTTCAGCACTCTCTATTTGGGCAAACTACACAACCAGTGCTGGATGGCCACATTGTATTGGGTAGCTCTAGATCTTAATCTAGAGGTTAAATATGGAAGAGAAAAAAGATGAAGAGGTGCTCTGATTTTCACTGACCTGCAGATGTGTCCTCAAGAAGGTTTTCCTTTTGGTATACTCAAAATTGTTTCTCATTAAAAGATACAAAAGTGCAGAAGCTTCATTCCTGGTTGAGCTAATCTTCGAAGTGCAGCACTTTAAAACCTCATAGCAAAATGCAGCACACATATTTACTCTTCCTTTGAAAAAGGCTGAGGGAAACTAATGAACAGAGAAAAGAAAAACAAGTATCTAAAAACCCAGTCATAAAATAAATTTAACATCAAGTGCCGACTATATCCTCACCTAAAACAATGCTGGGTGCTTTGAGGATACAAAATCAACATAAAGTGGGCTCTGGTTTCAAGCATGAAGACCAACCAGCAGGTATCAAAGACAGAACAATTTAAGTCCGTCTACAAGTTACTACAAAGATGGAAAGATACTGAACATAAATGCTACAGATCTGAGGAGAACTCAAGAGAGTCTGAAACATACAGTAAGTAGGTTCTCAATATGTATTGAATGAATGAATGAATGACTGAAATGATGAATGACAGATCTCAAACAGGGCCCTAAAAATGTGAAGGCTAGCTGGACTCTATGGCTCATGCCTGTAATCCTAGCACTTTGGAAGTCTAAGGTGGATCACTTGAGGCTGGAAATTTGAGACTGGCCTGTACAACAAAGCAAGACCCTGTCTCAACAAAAATTAAAACAAACAAACAAACAAAAACAGCTGGGCATGGTGGTGTGCACCTGTAGTCCCAGCTCCTTGGGATACTGAGGCAGGAAGATCACATGAGCCCAGGAGTTCCAGGCTGCAGTGAGCTATGATCGCATCACTGCACTTCAGCCTGGGGAACAGAGTGAGACCCTGTCTCAAAAAAAATAAAAAAATAAAAATGAAAAAGGCCAATCTTCATGACTTACTCTTTTGCTTTATATTTAAACAGTTCCTTATATTCTTAACTATTCTTAACTTCCAAATGCTAGGAAAATTATAGCTAAAATCTATTCAGCAAGTGAAATTCATCTTTAACAAAATAGGATATAGGTAAATTGTACACACACATGTACATTCTCTACTCATCAACAGTGTTAATTAAGACATATTTTGGCATAGAAAGAGTATAAAAGTGACTACCTAATTCTCAAAACAACCAAATGGCCTGTTACTTTCAAAATGTACTCAGTGTGCTTTGTGGAAGATAAACCATACATACAACATAGGCTTTTAAAAATCTCCCACGTGTATAGGTCTAGGCAAGCAAGTAGTAAGCTGCTTCAGGGTACGCAACAGATGTTTTCTTCTTCAGAGAGTGTGAAGCCAGAGGGCCACCCTTTAAAAATTATTTCTTGGGAATCTTGAATTTAAACCCATGTTATATGAATCTACCTTCATTTTACCTTAATACCAAGTGCAATACTATGCAGATAATGAATGCTTAACAAATGTTTTCTGATTGGTAAATTGGGAAATCTCATTAATAGTTTCACCAGATTAAACCAACTCTTGCTGAACAAGATACTCTAGCATGAAAATAAACATTTAAAGCCAGGCTGGCTGGCTCATGCCTGTAATCCCAGCACTTCAGGATGCCAAGGTGGGACATCACTTGAGGCAAGGAGTTTGAGACCAGCCTGGGCAATATGGTGAGACCTCATCTCTACAAAAAATTTAAAAAATTAGCCAGGCATGTATGTCCAGCTACTCAGGAGGCTGAGGTAGGAAAAACACTTGAACCCAGGAGTTCAAGGCTATAGTGAGCTATGATGATGCCACTGCACTCCAGCCTGGGTGACAGAGCAAGACCCTGTCTCCCCCAAAAACACAAAAAAAAGGAAAACAAAAATAAGGGAGGGCATAGCTACAGTGTAGTTAATCCCTACACTAAGTCTTCTACCCCTATCACTCACTTCTCTGAGTGGGCAATGGTCCAAATAATCAATCACCTCCTAATTACCAATTCTAATAGACCCCCTTTCCTTTTTATCTTATTTGACAATCCTATACCTCATGACAACATTGGAACTCTTTCCTCCTTTGGCTTCCATAATACCCTTCTTTCCTGTCTTTCTCCCTACCTCTGTAACTGCTCCCTCTTGTCTCTTTTACAGATTCCTCTTCCAGACCCTAACCTTTTTTTGTCCTTCCTCTATGTACTTTCCAGGGGAAATCAAACCCCTCCTCCCATGGCTTCAACTATCTCTTATATGCTAATGCTCTTCCTAACTCACTATGCTCCAGCTATACTGGCCTTTTCATTCCCAGCATATTCCAAACTCTTTCCCTACTCGGGGCCTTTGCATACACATATCCTTCTGCCTATGATGTTCTTCCTTGAGATCTTCATATGGCTGACTCCCTTTCATAGTTCAGGTCGCAATTTAGAAGTGACAAACCAACCTAAAGTAAGGTATCTCCCACAAATCATTATAACCTATCTCAACACCCTCTTTGTTTCCTTTCTAAAACATATCATAGACTGGGCGTGGTGGCTCACGCCTGTAATCCTAGTACTCTGGGAGGCTGAGGCCAGCGGATTGCTCAAGGTCAGGAGTTCGAAACCAGCCTGAGCGAGACCCCGTCTCTACCAAAAATAAAAGAAATGAATTGGCCAACTAAAAATATATATATAGAAAAAATTAGCCGGGCATAGTGGCGCATGCCTGTAGTCCCAGCTACTCAGGAGGCTGAGGCAGTAGGATCACTTGAGCCCAGGAGATTGAGGTTGCTGTGAGCTAGGCTGATGCCACAGCATTCACTCTAGCATGTGCAACAAAGTGAGACTCTGTCTCAAAAAAAAATAACTTATCATAATTACTAATTATTTTAGTTACTTAATTATTTTGTCTCCCCCTGCCAAGTTTTATGAGAGCAGAGAGTATGTTTCTTTTGTATCTCTACCATTGTATCTCCAGGACCTAGTACAGCACTCAAAACAAAGAAAGTGATCAATAAATATAGCATGGATGAAAGGAGGGTGACTCCAAGTCTAGCCCCTCCAATTCAGGTCCCTCACCAGAGTAAAGATGGATATATTCAAATATCTCATAGGCACCTTAAATTCAACAGGTCTACAAAACAGAATTCATTAACTTTTATCCCAAATATACTCTTTCTCCTACATTTCACATCAGCCCACCATTTCACACCCCACTGTACCATCAGTGAACTGAGACCAAATCCTATAAATTCTATCTCTTTAACATGTCTTATCTGCTTCTAGCTCTCCATATCCACTGTCACCACCTTACTTGAGACCCTCATTTCTTTTCTAGCCTGTTGCAACTAGTTTTTGTACTGCCACAAACCCCTCTTCTATATCATTTTTATAGTTTTTCCCTTCCATACCAATTCTTTCTTAATATAATATAAATCTAATTGTGTTACTTCCCTGCTTGTGATAACTAAAAGATGAAGTCCAACTCTTAAGATGAGTACACCTGATCTGTTCCCTATTTACATTGTCACTCTCAACTCTTGCTGAATCCATATTAAATCCTAGCTCTGCTGCAGAGAAACTTTTGCCAATTTACAGCATTTTCCCTCTTTCTCCCGCCCACCCTGAATTCTCTTTATAGAGTTCTTTTGTTATGATAGGATTTGTTTATGTGCATGTGTGTGTGTGTGTGTGTGTGTGTGTGTATCTTTATGTGTGTGTATGTATCTTTATGTGTGTGTATGTTTCCCTCTACTGGACAATAAGCCCTCAGGGACTATATCTAGTTAGTATCTACCCAGTAATTGCTTGTGAAATGAATTATTTCTGAATCTCTTTCCCTTTGTTTCTTGTAACATGCCTGGGTTGAACTCAGTTTTCCATAGGTTTCTTTATTCATTAAGTTGTATTAAAGAATGGCAATAAAAAATCAAACTTAGGCCAGGTGCGATGGCTCACGCCTGTAATCCTAGCACTCTGGGAAGCTGAGGTGGGCAGATTGATCGAGGTCAGGAGTTCGAAACCAGCCTGAGCAAGAGCGAGACCCCCGTCTCTACTAAAAATAGAAAGAAATTAATTGGCCAACTAATATATATAGAAAAAATTAGCCAGGCATGGTGGCACATGCCTGTAGTCCCAGCTACTTGGGAGGCTGAGGCAGCAGGATTGCTTAAGCCCAGGAGATTCAGGTTGCTGTGAGCTAGGCTGATGCCACGGCACTCACTCTAGCCTGGGCAACAAAGTGACAGTCTGTCTCAATCAATCAATCAATAAATAAAACTTAAAATTCATCTAATTTCTATATCAATTAAATGTAATTAGCTGCCATTGGAATAATAATGATCAAAAACAAAGTTTTCCATGTTTGGCTTTGTCTTGTTGGAGTTACACACACCAGAGTAGAAGATCTGGACTGTGCTCTTCCCTATCCTGAAGTCTGTCTTGGTTTATTGTGCTTATTCTTAAGTTTAAAAAATATCAAAAGCAGACTAAATAAGTCTTTGCTGTTTCAGTCATACTTCTTAAAAGCCAAGTTTGAGGTTATTGCTTAGGCCTGCACATTTAGGGCCCTCAGATACAACTAGCACTGAAAGGAAGGATTTGACTATTTGAACATGCACCAAGTGCCTACCATTTGCAAGATATTACATTACACAATACCCTCAGGTTACAAAAGTTGGCCCCTGCTTTCAAAGTGCGTATATATGAGTGCACTACTGGGTTATATACTTCCATTATGATAATACCTTAAAAAAGCAAAATACAGAAGAAAAACTGGCAAAGTTGGTAATTTGAAAATGACACTCTTCAAAGGAGCCTACTGAAAAAGGAAGGTATATTGAGGTGAAATAAAAAATAGGTTCTGATTTGAGGGGATTCTCAGTCATGCTATCTGTATGTATTTTGTTGTCCTGTATTTCTATTTTCAAAGGTAGCACTTAATGGCTTCATTAGCTTACCACAATGACCCCCCTCCTCTCCTCTTTCCTTTTTGCCACAAAGAGAGGCCACTAGCAGCTCCGAAGTTTCTGTCCTCACCTTACTGATGAAAGCTCTCAGGGAGGCAAATACATGTTTCAATGACACTTCTGATTGTCCATTTTTAAGAAAAGCAAGATGAATATCAAACACTTTTTTCATTAATGGGTTGTGGCCATCATTATTTAAAAGTTGACTCTACAAAACATAAGCAAAAATACAGTTTGCAGAAATGCTTAGTTTATGCCCCAGCAAGAAGGAGAAAACTGATTTTACCAATAATTGTTTATGAAACCACTGTTTGAAAGTTTTAGAAAAATGAAAGGTTCTTAAACATAATTTAAAAATATTTGTGCCATCTTTCAACTTAGAAATCAAAATACTACACAAATTACATCAGGACTACCTAATCCTAGCATTTTAAAGAGGTAGAAAAATATTATTTCTACAATGCAATAAAGCAAAATACAGAACTGGTATGGGGAAAAGAGTATTTTCTATTAATCTGTACTATATAGCTTCTCAATTAAAAAATGAGTAAATTAGAGGCTGAGTGTGGTGGCTCACACCTGTAATCCTAGCACTCTGGGAGGCTGAGATGGGTGCATCGCTTGAGCTCGGGAGCTCGAGACCAGCCTGAGCAAGAGTGAGACCCCATCTCTATTAAAAAAATAGAAAGAAATTTGGCCAGGCAACTAAAAATATGAAAAAAATAGCCAGGTGTAGTGGGGTATGCCTGTAGTCCCAGCTACTTGGGAGGCTGAGGCAGGAGGATCGCTTTAGCCCCAGAATTTGAGGTCACTGTGAGCTAAGCTGATGCCACGGTGCTCTACCAGGCAACAGAGTGAGACTTTGTTTCAAAAAAAAAAATCAGTAAATTAAAAATGAACACAAGGCAACCAGCCTTTGTATTTCTCTGAGGGAGACTAAATACTGTAATGTAAGAATTAGGGAAAATACCAATTCTATTTTAAAAGCTTATTATCTAATTTATTTTAAAAAATATATATAGTACAAGATTATATTTAGCCACTTGTGACAAATTAAGCCTTCTGTGAATAGAGATAATAACAGGTATCACAATTGAACAGACTATGTAAATTGTTTAAATACCCCTTGCAATGAAACACAAAAGAAAAATCAAATTGTAGAGAAATATCTATTAGTTTGTGAAACTTGTTTTAAAAATAGCATTGGTTAACCTCTCCAGCTCCACCCTCCTATCCTATCTTACCACGAGAAACTAATCTATAGGTTACAATTTGTCCAAAAATAACAATAAATCCCTCCCCAAACCCCAACAAAACAATAAAAATAAAGCAGAGTTATTATAGATCTAATGGCAACATCAACAGCCAGAATCCCTGAATGGTGTTTGATTTTTTTCTGGCACTTTCCTTAGTCTACTTCCAAACATGGTATAGTGGGTAGAATCACAAATTCTCATGATAACTGGCCTAGATCTGAATCCTGATTCTGCCACTGCCCAGTTACGTGACATTAACCGCCCATGAACCTCAGTTTCCTCATTTTAGAAATGAAATAATAAGAGTATCTACATCATAAGGCTACTATGAGAATTTTATGTGACTTCTTATTTGTATTTTTAAGTTTATTGACATACAATTTACACTGCTTTCAAGTGTAAAATTCAATTACTTTTAGTAAACCTAGTGACAGAGGTGGGTGACCATCATAATCCAATTTTACAACATTTCCATTACTTTTTTGTATTTTAAACACATGCAGTTTATTATGTGTCAATTACATCTCAATGAGGTTATTATAAACAAGAAAAAAAGCTCTTAAAACTTATCCAGGGGGTAATGGGAGGGGAATTTGGAGGTGTTGTTGCTTAAAGGATCCCTCCCATTTCCCACACTCAGCCTTACAATGAAAGGTGAGTTATTATTTGCATAGCATTTAAGATAGTACCTGACACCCACCAAGAGATATATAAATGTTTGTTAAATAAACAAGAAGTATTGGAATAGGAGAAATGAATACAATGCAAGTCACAAGACAAATGCCTTTCTTATTTATTGGCAAAACAAAAAATGGGCTTCTGTGGCATTTTTTTGTTTGTTTTCCTGACACCACCTGTTTGTTCATGTTGCATTTTAATCAGACTAAACCTAATACTTCATAAAGGGATTCTGTAGCCCATTTCTTATTATTATCTAATTCAATTTTCCTTTATAAGCCTTTTTGAAAATCACAGGCCAGATTTCCATAGTAATTCTGGAGGGCTCAAGCAATTAACTGAATTACTTAGAGAAGGAGGGAAAGGGGAGAAAAATTATCTGTGGAACTCAATAGACAGCAAGCAAGATTTTTCACCTTTGGTTTCTCCCACTAATGCTATCCTAACATTATAGTCACACAGTTTTTACTTTTCAAAGCACTCGCATCCATTATCCTAATTTACTCCTTCAACAACCCTGTAAGAGACCTGTTTTTACCTTCTTTTAAAAATCATAACAATGATGACTTGCACTGAGAGGCAAATGCCTGGGCAAAAATAGTAAGTACCAGCCTACCTGGATATCATCTACCCTGACAGGATACCTAGTCACAATGGGCATTTCAGCAAACTGTTACAATCATAATTTGGGCTAAAAATTGCTAGCTATTTTATTAAAAGTATGAAAGAAAACTGTTTTTAAACATGAAAATAAAACAATAGAATTTAAGAGGTGGAAGAGAGCTTAAGAGCAAGTTAATCCAATCCTCTCACTTTATGAGTGACAAAAGTGACTCCCCAAGGTCACATGATAGCCAAACCCAGTCTGCCATCCACGTTTCATGACTGTTCATGCCAGCCTTTTTCACTACACTATCTTGCATCTGACTAGTTAATTTTTGTGTAACATTTTCTTTCCAATGATACCAACTGAATTCTAACTCCTCATTTTTACCTTGAAGCACTGGGTGAAAAATGATATAGTATCTAGTACTGTTAGGGAAACTTCAGTAGCAGTATTGCCTTCAAGAAGTGCCTGGTGGAAAATGTCTGCTTCAGTTGTTGCAGAACCTAGGATAAAACAAATAAATTAAACTTTGTCTAACATAGAGATGCACATTAACAGTGTTAAATGAATTTCTCTCCAAAGACTGAGAGAGACAACCAAGAAGAAAAGAGGCTTGCAATACCACAGATCTAATGAGTTTCACTGTATTTATTCCTTAATCAAATATGGTCTAGGTTCATCAATTCCAATAATTTTCACTTTGGCTCGGTATCAACAGCTCTGCAGCACATAATTAGGTTCCCACTTCTTCGGAGACAAGATTTCAGGGATGAACTATGGTGATGTAACTAGGAAATAATGTGGGAGGCTTTGTAGGTCATGCCACTAATTATGTGGGTAAAAATAAGAAACCCATAGAAATTCAGCTACATATAGACAGTGGTGCCCTACAGTCAGACATTTTAAATTATGCCAATGATATGAGCCTTGTTTCTAAATCAGAAAGAAAACAGAGTATCTATGCCAACTGAAAGAAGTAGGCTCATTTGACTTTTACAAGAAGCTTCAGACTTTAAAATTTGTATATTTAAAGCTCTTGAGTCTATTAGCTCAGGGTCTATCTGCTCAAGATATTATTTTTTTATTATTAGGCATTACCACAAAGCCAATTTTGTTAGCTTCCTTTTCTGCAACCTCCGGAGGACTGTGTGGAAACAAAACTTTCTCACTCTTTGAGTTTTTATTAATATTTGCTTTTCATAGGATAGCTTCCATTTATATAACCCTCTAGTTTCCCCAGCTGGGCAAGATTTCTCTGCTTGTCCTATGTGCTTTGTCAATACTTCAACCTGTTTTAAATAAACCTTTGTCAAAATGGTATTTAGAATTCATTGATTTCTACAGTCAACTCAGCATGTGGGATTCCCTAATCATTAAATGACCAATAGTAACTCTAAACAGATATTATTAAATACATACACAATTAAGTTAAAGTTTAACAATAGGAATGAAGGATATCCAATATAAAAATAAAAAGAGAATAGAATTTCCACAGGAAAAAAATTAATTTCTTTAATATTAAGAAAAAACCACCATTATCTAAAATTGTGGAAAAATCCATGCATATTTTATTTTATAGACATATGATAAAATTGATTATATGAAAATACACAGCAGAGATATACATATTTATCTTTGTATGGGAAATAATTTCCTATCATACTGTTGAATTAAACCAGGACTTTGTATATATTTATAGGATATATGCGATATTTTTTCATGGACAGAATGTGTAATGATCAAATTAGGATATTTAGGGTATCCACTACTTCAAGTGATTTAAACCAGAATTTCTTTAAGGTTAATAGCAGCATATGGCTCATTCAAACGAGACCCCATACTCATTGCCACTCACTGTGATTTAGTGTAAATGAACTTTCCAGGCTACTAAGATGTTGAAGCCTGGCCTGCATTACTCCTGATCTGTTTCGAAGAGCTGGCATGGTTTGCGATTTCCGGTCTATTCCAAAGTGTTTTGACAGCCAGGCATCATGCACCCTAAAATAAATTTAAACGTTAGGAACTGGAGTGCTCTAATATTATATCTCAATGTTACATTCTTTTTAGCTAAAAAAATAATTAGGTTTCCACATAAACATGGTACTATACTTAATATTCCATGCACTATTACTTGGATTGAATAAGATGTCACTAGGAAATTGTATGAGGTTTTAATGAATCTTTAAAATAGTTTATATCATAAAAATGTAATTAAGTAATTTATGAAGAGTTTCCCACTTCTCTCCTTCTGCTCAAAAACATCAGAGTTAAATGACCAACACCAAATAAGATTCAGTCTTTTCGCAGGAGGTGAGGAAGGGCAAGAGTAAGAGAAGACAGTGAGAGGGACACTCAGGGTTGAAATGAGGGGGAAAATCCTGGCCTCAGATTTTCAAGAATGAGTGACAATGTAATCTGTTCCTGAACTTGAGGTAAATTTGAATCTGAAATTTTTACTCTGTAAAAATGCCTATTGCTAAGATTTGAGAATTTTCCTTTGTTTTCCTTTAATGTTAAGGTTCCATTTAAAAAATTACAACTGGCTCATATGTGACATAAAGAAGTACCATGGTTCCCCGAAAATAAGACAGGGTCTTATATTTATTGTTCCTCAAGAAGACACCCTAGGGCTTATTTTCAGGGGATGTGTTATTTTTTTTAAGTACGGTACAACAATCTATGTTTATTCAAATATAGTTAAGTCGTCTTCTTCTGGAACATCATCATAGTAAAATGGCAGCCACAGCTTTCCTTCTTCCCCCTGGGCACACACAATACCTAAAGCAGAGCGTCCCACCCCTCATTTCACTTAGGAGACTTTCCCCTCAAAGCCTCAGCTTGCAGCACACACAGGATGGCCGGGAACTGACAGGGGAAGCCGACCTTGTTGCTGGGGCTGCCTGCACCTTTCCGGTCACCTGTGGGGTAGTAGCTGTCATGATGGGGCAGATGAGAAGGGCTGCTCATCTTCTTTACCGCTCCGCACGAAATGCATGAGTTGTGCAGACACACTGCGTAGCCACAACCATCACTAGGCCTTATTTTCAGGGTAGGGCTTATATTGCGCAAATGCTTAGAAATCCTGCTAGGGCTTATTTTATGGGTAGGTCTTATTTTCGAGGAAACACAGTAGTTTGTCTATCCTCAAATAAACATAGTGGGATAGTCAACAATCCTAGAGGCTGAGACTCAGAGTAACAATGACCAAACCAGCTCCAAGTCATAGAGAGAGATGATGGAAATTAGAACTCTCATTACCTCAACTACCTATTATTAGGGTGTTCGAGAGACTCAGCAATAAACACCATCCAAACAGCCTCTTTAGTTTTTGGAAGTGCCATGGAACTTAAAAAAAAAACAAAAAACTATAATATATTTTATTGAAGCAAGCAACCTTCTTTGCCTTAGGATCCCTTAAATATGTCCTTAAGTATTTATTTCACTAGAACTTAAACAGCAAAAAAAGGAAATAGATAATATATAATATATGTCTCAATCACTGTTAGGGATTTCATTTACCTTAGTAATTTAGGTGAGTATCAGAGTGTAGACAATACAGACCTCACAGGTGTTTTCATTTTCATTTCCTGCCTTTCCCTGGATCTAGTCCCTTCTCAAGTCCTTAAGAAAAGGTAAGCATCTGTCCTAAGTTTAGGGAGATCTCACAAAGTAGAAATTCTGCATATCACTCTAACCATTACCGCTTGGAAAATTTACAAATGTATCAGTTTATATTTTGAGTTTAAACTTTGAGTTGGGACATGTTAACTAAATCATTTGTGTCTTAACGTTATCTGAAATTAATAATCTGGGTTTTACATGGCACGACTAAGATTGCCCTCTGTTAGAAGAAAAGGAAAAAATGGAAACTGCAGTGCTATAGGAATTACCTTGCTATGTTTCTTTTCCCCATATATCTAAAGTGAAACAAACATACTCTAGAAGGAAAAACAAAGGCATGTTAGTAATATATTACCATCCTTTACAATTTAACAAGTAATGTTTAAAAAAATCAAGAGTTACAAAGAACATCCTATTTAAATATTACAGTAATATGTGTTTTGGTATACAGAAATAAATACACACGTAACTATTTATGGGCTTGCCACATTATATTAAAATATCTTTCTACATTTATTTGCTACAATTACATCAGTATCCAAACCCTCATGTCTTCATATACAATTCTAATGACAGGTTTAAAAAAAAAAAACCTGTCAATGCAAATCATTTTCTGTGCTCTGTAATAAATATGTTATAGAAAGATCTCTAGCATAGTCATTAATAACTAAAAGAGCTTCTTAAGCACTAAAAATTGTGACAATTGCTACATTTTTTACAATGGCATTAAAATACTTTCTATTACTGAAAATTTCAAGCTCTCATGTACTTATCATCCCCAAGCTTCAACAATTATCAAACTCATGGCCATTATTGTTTAACTTCTTCCCAGAACAGGTCTCCTGATCTCCTTCCACCCTTCCTATCTCCTATCTTTTTTGAAACAAATCCCCAATATCAGATATTTTGATTAGTAAATATTTCAGTATAATTATAGTTGTTTTAAAATCTGAACTGTTTACTGACATTTTCTGAAAATTTTTGAAAGACTTTAATCAAATGGTTACACATTATCTTCTCTGCATTTTGGTAAACTTGGAATACAAATCATCTATGTGTACTATTATGTAAAAATTTCTTGCATTTCATTCTATGCCTGGTTTTTCTTTTAGCTTTCAATAATGCAAAAATAGCTCAGCATACAATATAGGACAAGTTTTTATCTCCAGACTAGGTTTTTCCCCAAGTGTCTTGGACTATATATTGTATGTGTGTGTTATGTATGCATACATAACATTACACACATTTCTGAAGGGGGTAGAATTACTCAGCTAGCTGTACATGAGAGTACAAATTCTAAATTCCAATCATTTAAGCTACTCCATTAATCCAGCATGTGTTCCCAATGAATGATGTAGGGCAGCTGACACCACTTCTAGTTTTCCAGACCATAGAAAGACCCCTGCTAAGCTGTAAAGATGGGCGTCCTCTCTATCTTATCAAAATATTTTAACATTTTCTACATTATTAGCAAATAAGCTTTTGAAAGCAGAAAGAAGAGGTAACAGTTAAGCTCCTCCCCAAATAAGGGGAAAGTTTATGAAAATAAGTTAATATAACTTACTCTAGAAGTACAAGAATGTTTATGAGCTCCTGAGGAGATACTTTATTCCAGTAAGTTAAGAGAGTATCTGAAAATGGAATAAATCAAGTGTTATATCTTGAAATATTAGAGAAAATAGCAAAATAACCCACCTAGTACCAATAACCTAGCTCCAACAACCATCAACTCACCACCCATCTTGTTTCATCTCTATCCTCCTTTCCCCTCCCACTGCCCAATACACACACTGTATTCTTTTGAATTAATTCATTTAATCTGCAATTATTTCAGCTTCAACAATTATTTTTATTTATTTTGTAAATGTTTTTTGTATAGCTTATCCCAATCTTCATATCATCCTTGAAGACAGGAAGAAAAATTGTTGTATTTTTACTTTAGACCTGGGGTCTTTAACAAACTCCCTAAAATTTTATGCAAGATGGTGTGTTCATGCACATTTTCTGAGAGGGTCTGGTGCTCTGCTTGCTGCTCAAAGGGCTTTGTGAACTAAAAGTTTCAGAACTTTAAACTTCAGAGGATGAGCCAGATAATTTTTCTTTATTTCCCTCTTTGTCTTTTGATTATAAACTCTGATGTCCTATCTATGGAACAACTATTGTAGACCAAAAAAAAATCCCTTAAATCTATCACATATACTTCTCTTTTTTACCCATTTTTTTCTTTACTTCCTTGACATGTCCACTCACTGAGATTTTTTTAAAACGTATTAAAATTTTGCCACTACTTAACTCTCCATTCCTTTTTTATCATACTCGGATACAGCTAATGGTATCAGCAGACTCTCCTCTAAATGTAAAAATGCTGTACGTATAACAAAAGTAGGCAAATGACTGAATTTTCAACTGAGCTAGAGCCTCCGAAACACACGGATGGAAGCCCAGACAATGCTGGCTTTATGGCGGGGTGAATAGGGGGTCAATGAGGAGTGCGAGGGGTTTGACTTAGCTACTTCCAATTGTTTTATAAGATCATAAATATTGATAGGTTCTAATGATTAGAAAATACTGATCACGAAGAATAAAACTGTTAAAACAGAGTCAAATTTGATATGTTTTAAAAATTAAGCTAGCGGTAACTTCCGGTCTTCCCTCTTCTGCCTTCAGGAACCTTTCTGTTCAGTGAAGAGCGGGCTTTCCCAGAAGTCACTGGGTTTCCGGTCTCTGGTCTGAGGGGAGCTTGCCGCCCAACCGCCAGAAAGCGCGCGCCTCCTCTCAGGTGCCAGGGCTTTTCCCACCAAAAAGCTGGTACTTCCTTTCCATCAAAAAACTGAAACCTTCAGTCCATTCCTGAGCAACTCCTTTCCCTCTGCCCCCTTGGGCAGCTTCGCAAAAGGTCTGTAAAAGGGGTGGAAGGGATCGCGTCGTCCGCGGTGGCCTAACTCTAGTCAGCGGCAAGTGCGCCATTTTCTTGGTGGCACTACAGAGTCAAGGGACTGCCCCAACTGTTTCCAAATCAGTGAGACATGATGCAGGCAGGGAACACTGGTCGCGGAGGCAAGGGAGGTAGTAGTAAGAAATTTTCAGGAAAAGATAAATTGCAGTTGAGTGTATGTGATTTGGAGTCTGATGATTTTAAAAAGGCATGGTTAACACTAAAAGAGCTCCATGATAAAGAGCTGTACCGTTTACAGGCAAAATTAACAAGTCTGAGGAAAGAGCGATTGGCAGATGGGAGGTGGACGGGCTCGACAGCTAAAATTAAAGAGTTGACCGAACAGCAGAAAATCCTTAATAGCACCATTCGTGACTTACAAGATCAGTTAAGCGCAAAAACATGTAACCGCTGCTCAATAAATGAAACATACAGAAGTACACTGCAGAAAGAATTTTATGATATCCAACAACAAAATCTTAAGTTTATTGCTGAACTCACTGCAGAAAGGAATAAATTAAGAGAAGAAAATAAAAACCTTTCTGCAAGAATAAAATTGAGTCAACAACAGTTTAATGCTGCTTTTTCTGATAGTGAGGATGACTTCATTCCTTGTACTCAAAGGACTATGCCAGTTTATTCTGTCAAGGAGCCTTCACAAGGAAATCAGGTGTATACACCTAGCAAATTGATAAAGCAATCACATACTGAACAGATGAAATCAGGAAGTGAAAAGCAACTGCAACTAAGTCCAGGGTTTATAATTCCATTTCATAGTCAAGACCTCTTTGAAGTGCCAGAGACCTCTTTTGAGAAATCATCTTCTAATGACAATAAGCCTACCACAGGAGGCAGTGAGAACCAGAAGTCATTTGCAGGTTTTCCTTTAATATCTACACTTGATCCTCAAAAGGAGTGTGGACTTCAAGGTATCTCAACTCCTCCTGAAGACAAGCTTGGCCAGCCAAAAAGGAAATATCAAACAAGGATCTCCACGCAAAAGACCGCCACACAAAAGTGTGCAACTCAGATTGACTTCTCTTGGAGCCTTTCCAGTATTTCTGCAAGAGACAACCCACCACCTGTTCAGGTAGTATCTGAAACTTCAGAGGAAAACATATCTAGCTATAGTGCAGGCCTATTTCCCCCTTTTACACAGAAAAAGGAAAGACCGTCTTCGAATGTATTTCCTCTTGACTATACTTTAAGATCTAGTGGGAGAAAAAGATCAACAGTTGGTACTACTCGTTATAACTCTGCGTTTGCAGTGAAAGATGACATTAGCCAGATGCCTTCCAGTGAACTATCTGCTTTGAAGAATACTAATGAACCTACAAGTGCAAGTAAAGCTCAAGGTGATACCGATAGTGTCTTTTTAGGGTCTGTGCTAAAGAGAAAAGCCAAGGTACAGTCAGAAAGAAAGAGGAAGTAGCTTCCCCTCATCTTCTCTCTTAAGTAAAAAAAAAAGTTTTTCTTTTTCAAGAGGACAATTTTTCTGTCATTTCAGACTGTGTAACTGATAACTCCTGACTCTGATCCCCTTTCTCAAGCTATAATAAATAAGGCAATAAGGCTTGAAAATTTTTTGAGAAATGACTCTAAGGCTTTGAAACAGTACGTTATTGTCAGTTAACAAAATACAGCTATAAATAGAGAAGGAAATTCATTCTTCAGAATCGATATAAAAATGTAGAGGTAGACCATCTTTTTGTTGACATTAAAGTTGTTTGTTTATAACCCAATAAAAAAGACATCCAAGAGAGGAACTGAAGGGTATGGACTTGAAAAAGTTCAATATTTAAATGTATACAGAGTAACTAAAATAGATTATTTACCAGACAAGGCAAACTAACTAGAATGCGTCCATTGAGAAGAATCCAGAGGCAGATACTTTGCAGAATAAAATGAACATGACTTGACACATACAAAAGATAAAGAAGAGATGTGATGAAGATCGTATACTAGTTATTGAAAATGTGCTTTTTAAAATGAAAAAGGAAAGCACAGAAGAAACGAAAAACTTATTAACAAAGACCAAATATTTGGCTGTGAGTATAGTACTGAGCAACAGCCACTGAGCAAGCAAGGTCAATATTTACAAGAGGAAGAACTTTCAAGTTCACAAGAAATAAGAGTCATGGTTTTACCCATGACATTTAAAAACAAAGCAGCCAGTGACTTGTCTCTGGTTAGCACAGTGTGTGGTGGGTGTTTATGTGTGTGTGTGTGTGTGTGTGTGTGTGTGTGTGTGGTATGTGTGTATACATATGTATACTAGAGTGGAGAAGTGCATCTCTCCTAAGCAGTGCATCTCTTCCCCTCTCCCTTCCTTCTCTCCCCCATTTTACTTTCTTTGGGCTGTGGTGCTACTCATCCATTTTTATTTTCATTTTCCTAAGTATCTCTTGGGCTTCTTTTTTTTAAAAAAATGAATTTATTGAGTGAATTCATGTACCACAAAATTACCCACTTAAGTAGTGTACAATTTTACAATAGTTTTTAGTATATTCACAGATTTGTAAAGCTATCACAACAGTTCTAGAACATTTTTACTGCCTGAAGAAGAAACTCCATGAACATTAGCAGTCAATTTCCATATTCCCCTACTTTTAACCTTGTGGGAAGACAAAACAGTGAGTTGTAGCTGTAGTTGTTAACTGATCCATCATCTTCTGGAATGGAACATCACTGGTGTTGAAAATTATCTCCCTTTATTTCTTTCTCAAAACACAGACCCATCACATAGCCTCGATATAATCTTTCACTTTTACTTTAATTTTTTTTTTTTTATTATTAAGACAGAGTCTCACTCTGTTGCCCAGGCTAGAGTGCCGTGACATCAGCCTAGCTCACAGCAACCTCAGACTCCTGGACTCAAGCAATCCTTCTGCCTCAGCCTCCCGAGTAGCTGGGACTACAGGCATGCGCCACCATGCCCGGCTAATTTTTCTATGTATTTTTAGTTGGCCGATTAATTTCTTTCTATTTTTAGTAGAGACAGGGTATTGCTCTCGGTCAGGCTGGTTTTGAACTCCTGACCTTGAGTGATCTGCTCGCCCTGGCCTCCCAGAGTGCTAGGATTACAGGCATGAGCCACAGTAGCCGGCCTCACTTTTACTTTAAATTGTACATTCCTAGAACTTAAAGATTTTAGTAATTTTAAAATTGTATTAAAATATTTTAGAATTTATTATTCTTATCTAGCTTTTGTTTTATGTTTTTCTAGCTAGCTACCTATAAATTTATTTTGTATTTATATCCTGCATCATTACAAAAAAGACTTAAAGCAGGTAATATTTACTGAAAGTAAAATATAGAAAATAAGTAAAAAATAACAATGATTATAATGATCAGAACCCAGGTGCCTTGTTTTGTTTTGTTTTATTTATTGAGACAGAGTCTCACTCTCTGTTGCCTGGGCGAGTGCCATGGCATCTGCCTAACTCACAGCAACCTCAAACTCCTGGGCTCCAGCGATCCTCCTGCCTCAGCCTCCTACCTCAGCCTCCCAACAGGCATGCACTGCCATGCCTGGCTATGTTTTCTATTCTTAGTAGAGACAGGGTCTTGCTCTGGCTCAGTCAGGTCTCAAACTCCTGAGCTCAAGCGATCCTCCCGCCTCGGCCTCCCAGAGTGCTAGGATTACAGGCATGAGACACCGCATCCGGCCAAAGCAGGTAATATTTACTAAAAGTAAAAAAAATAGAAAATAACTAAAAAATAACTAAAAAATAACAATGATTGCAATGATCAGAACCCAGGTGCTTTTATATTCTTCATTCTTGCACATATTTTTTGAGCAACAATATTGAGAAAAGGAAGAAAGGGGAGGGAAGTATGTAAGCAAATGTGGTATTTGGGGATAAGATAACCTGATTTTACTTCCAGGAGACATGCAGTGTATGAAAATACTTCAGTTTTATTCCATCATAAACTGCAAAGAGGAACTGGTAACACTAGTAAATGATACAGTTCTACATCGAGGAAAAGAATGGAGCCTGACAAAGAACGTGACACCAGACAACAGCATACAAGTGGGACTGCAAAGATAACCATGGCATTCCTCAGAGAACTCTTCCTGTCTTTTTGTTTCTGATTTTCAAATCCTGGGTCAAATAAAAACTAAAGTATTAAATATGAACTCAGGTTATTATTTCCTTCCAGTTACATTGGTCGCTTAATCAATCATATGCTCTGCATGAAAAAATGTTTAGCACTTCTAAAGTTAATTTGTAAAATTATTTTAAAGTTATTTCAAAGAATCAAACCTGTATGACTAAGATGAATTTGCATTAAGATTCATTTTAAGGAACATTTATTTTAAGGTCAAAGTTTTCAACAAAGGTCTGTTTCTAATGGGCATGTGCTCTGCATACAGATGATAGTCAAAGACTGTTGCATAAAACTGTGAACCTGTGAGGGTGGAGTCTAGTAGAGTACATGTTTAACATGCTTGCTAACTCACCTTCAGAAATCATTTTTACTATATACAGGTAGCACATTAAGAGGCTTCTGATTTCATATTGATCCAGCCGGTTATACTGGGATACACTACTCCTTGTAGAACTCTGTCGGGTCTATAATATAAAGATGGGACAACTGTGAAACAATATCAGTACCATAATTTTTTTTTTGAGTCAGTCTAACTCTGTTGCCTGGGTTAGAGTGCCGTGGTGTCAACCTAGCTCACAGCAACCTCAAACTCCTGGGCTCAAGCAATTCTTCTGCCCCAGCCTCCTGAGTAGCTGGGACTACAGGCATGCGCCACCATGCCTGGCTAATTTTTTCTATATATTTTTAGTTGGCCAATTAATTTCTTTCTATTTTTAGCAGAGACAGGGTCTCACTCTTGCTCAGGCTAGTTTCAAACTTGTGACCTTCAGCGATCCACCCCCCCTAGGCCTCCCAGAGTGCTAGGATTACAGGCGTGAGCCACTGCGCCCAGTCAGTACCATAATTTTCTATTGCCTAAAACTCAATGACTATTTTTATCATTAGTTCTGTCTGGGAAATTTTACATATAAATCTAAATTTTGTATCACACCTGGAAGGTAAATAGGCTGGATCTTTCTTGCTACTGTATCCAGTAATACCACTGGAAATTATCTTCGGGTCTTGATAAAGCTATAGCCATGAATATGGTATATGTTTCATTCCCATATGCCCTGTGTTTTAGTAGTAAAATTCTAAAATAATCATACGGCTATTTCAGGAAAAATAGCACTTACATGGATGGGAAATGTAAGGCGTGAAAGCATAAGAAACAGTTTAAACTCTTTAATTGGAATCCTTCCTTAGGATTTATTAAAATCTGGCCTCCAAATCACAGCTCAGAAAAATCTATGTAAAAATGAGCTAATGATATTAAGATAATTATACTCAGGAGCACCCAGTAATACATCAAAATTTGAGCCTCTACAAAGTAGTGATGTTCCTATTATTTAATGACTTTTGTTAAAATATCAGAAGTTAAGCCTGCCAAGATTTTACTTGTTAGGGGATTTATATAACCAGAGTAACAAAATTCTCCTGAAGAATTCACACTTGTTAAAAACCAATACTTTCAGTTGAGCTAAACTGGGGGTACACATTGAGTAAGATTCATTAAGAAATAACTTTCACTTGGAGCCAAACAGACCTAGGTTCTGACTGCTGACTAGCTATGTGACTACTAACAAGTCATTTAACCTTTCTGACCTTTATTTTCCTTAACTATCATAGTGTCTGTTGTCACAATTCTAAATGGTGTGAAATAGAAACCTCAGTGAATAAATTACTATTTACCCAAAGGCTCAAGGTAGTATAATCCAGTAATTCTCAAGGGGTGATTCCCAACCAGCAGCAACATTATCACCTGGGAACTTAGAACTACAAATGAGTAGGCCCTATTCCAGACCTACTTAATCTCACTCTGGGGGTGAGGCCCAGCCATCTATTTTTATTAAGTCCTCCAGGTGATTCTGATGCATGCTAAGAGCACCATGATATATAAAAAGTGCTAGAATCAGAAAATCTGAGTTTGAGTGTGGCCCTTTCATAGCTTGTTGTTCTAAGTCATAATCCCAGGTTTTATTTGTAAACAGAGTTGGAATTTATTATTTTATGAACCTAACTCTAATTTTATATGATTCTATGATTTTACATAGCAGCATGGAAAACCTTTACTAGTCTAAAACAAAGTCTCTGTCTCAAGACAGACACAGCTCAAACTTTAATGGTTGGTTTGAAACAACTTGATGGAAGAGTTGGACAATATATTCTGATTATGTGATGTTGGGACTCTGAGATTACCAATTTGGGTACTTAATTTTTTCTCCCAAACTAATATCAATACTCTATTACAAAATCATGAAAGACTGAATTAATCCCACCAGGATATGTTTTGTTTTAAATGACAAATGACAACACATTAGATATTTTAAACTTGAACCTTCCCTCTCTAGAGGGAAGTGTACTAGGGTTAAAGGAGATATTCAGAGTTAGAACTTTTGAATATGAATGGCTTATTCCCTATAAATAGTTTAAGATAGACAAGTAGCAGCTGCCAAGATAGAAAGCAACTACTAAAATATCAAAAAATTATGGGCTGCATCTTACAAGATCTAGGATAGACTACAGGAGAGTAAAGAGCCTCATATTTATATAAAACTAAAGACTGTTGCAGCTTAACATATCACTAGGGTTATCCTACATATTCAGGTCCTTACATTTTCACCAGTGTTGCCATGATCTGGAAATCCTGTTGCTCCTTCTGGGATGAGGGAACCTCTTGAATCTTCTCTTTTAATTCCATGTCCATTTTGAAAAGACCCATAAGCTGAAAAGACAGCCAAGTCCTTGTTAGCAACAGAGGAACTGTCAAAAATATTTTTAAAAATAAGTACTTGATTAATTTAAGTAAATACATTTTATAGAGAATAGATCTCGGTCATCTAGAATGTGAAATCTATCTATTATATCAAAACACTTTAAGAAATCAAGTAAAGGCTGGGCACGGTGGCTCATGCCTGTAATCCTAGCACTCTGGGAGGCCGAAGCAGGAGGATTGCTTGAGCTCAGGAGTTCAAGACCAGCCTGAGCAAGAGCGAGACCCTGTTTCTACTATAAACAGAAAGAAAATTAGCCAAACAACTAAAACTAGAAAAAATCAGCCGGGCACAGTGGCACGTGCCTGTCATCCCAGCAACTCGGGAGGCTGAGGCAGGAGGATCACTTGATTCCAGGAGTTTGAGGTTGCTGTGAGCTAGGCTGACGCCATGCCACTCTAGCCCAGGCTACCGAGTGGGACTCTATCTCAAAAAAAAGAAACCAAGTAAAGGTTAAGTGACTTTTTACCTTTTAAAACACTTAATATGTATCAAACTATGAGAAATTCCTTGGGAGTCATAAAGTGACATAATTCAAGATACAGTTCTATAGAAAAGGAAACTTGAGCCCAGAAAAGGGGAGTGCCTTGCCTAAAATTGGTGACAAATAAGAAAACTGGGAAACCAGTGTTTTTCTCATTATCCTTTATTTTCTAAGTATACCACGCATGCTATGTTTTAAACAAACTTAGACAAGGAGACCTAGGGCAAATAAATGTGACTACAAGTGTGAGTCAGCTTTTAATTAAACTTTAGTAGAGATCATGCTATGTATAGTTTTTATAATGAAATATTTCAAAACTACAGGGGTGTACAGGGTACATTTCTAAACACTCATGCAATGTATAATCTTTAAAAGGCTTAATTACCAGTGTCTTTGTCAGCACTCAGACTCCCTCTGTTTGCAGGTGAAGTAAAGCCACATGAAAACTCATCCCTGGATGCCTGTAACAGAATGTGATACTTGTGTCATTTAAACAAATTTGTACACAAGGATAATAATTCTAAATTAACAATAAAATTGTACCCTGATTTGAAACAAAGCTCACTATGAAAGTCTAAATCAGGGAGTAGTACGTAGCATTTAGGTGACTCTTTTAAAAAGGGGTCTACTAGCATACTGTTCCAACCATAACCTCTGGCCAAGTGGCATAATTCTAGACGGCTACGACTGGTGCAGTCTAAACATAGTCCAGTTCTCCTCCTTGGAACCAGGGGCAATGCTAGAAGTAAGGGTGTGATCAGAAGCCCTAGATGAACCTGATTTACTAAAGAAAAAACAGATAAATGAAATATTTCCAAATACTGCTGTCCAAGGTATGTGGAGTGAGCAGAAGCCTGAGCTACTATGTTGTGAAGGAAGACCAGCCTGACACCCAGGTAAGTGATGAAGCATCCACATTCAGTCAGTTGATATGATTGGGATCCACATGCAAGCAAGCCATCAGGCAAGCTTAAAAGCAGCTTTCTCAGGAACCCATGGGAGGCTTGACAAATCGGCTGGGACATTTCATGGAGGGAATTTCCAAAGGTAACTGTAAAGGACACAGTTTAACCTGCCACCCAAAAATATGACAGAGCTACCAAAAGTGCAAAGGTGATCTTGGGCCATATAGAATATGGAAGGGGGCAGGAGTTAATAGTTCTACTGGGCAGACTAAAAAATGTACAATTCTGGCACCATATTTTTTTTCAGAATTTTATACTTTATTTAAAGTTAATACAATGAAAAACAGTTACAAGTAAATGATAATTCGGTACATTTAGTTGAATATTATTTATACATTTACATATTCACAAGCTGATAGATCTGTCCTTCACCACCATCAAACATTTTAGTCTATGTAGTCAAAGTCTTCTGGAATTCCAAAAGTTTTATCAATTTTAGCTTCTTCAAGTCCAAATTTTCTTTTGGCCCAAGATTTTATTGCAAATATATTATCTCAGGAATTGGAGTTGCTCCAGGCACCATATTTTAATAGGGTTATTTATTGGTAAACTGAAGCATATTGAGAAAAGGGGTGGCCAAGAAAGTAAAGGGTTTGAAATGACAGATGATGAAGTAGAGATATTTGGCTTGGAGAAAAATTTAGAAGGCACATGTGGAAATGGGAACAGATGTGTTCTATGTGTCTCTACAGGGCAAAACTAGGACCAGTGGGTAGAAAAGCTTTCAGGTCTAATGTGATAAGGAAGGTTTTAATTATTACAATGACAAAAGGTCATTTTGCCAAATGGGAGACTGATTGCCTCCCACGTTCCTTCTAACTCCTAAGATTCTGGAGAAGGGAGAAAAAGCATAGACCAGTTATAATAAACTGCAAGGAATGCTGCCAGGAGACTAACAAAGGAAGGGAGAAGCAAAGAAATACAGTTTTAATCTCTAATGCCTAATATTGTGGAAGTGAAGAATCTTTTGTTTGGTTTTCAAGTTGAGTAAATATATAAAGGCATACACAGCAAATCTTAAGAACAAAACACTGGGTACAAGTATCTTGTGGTATTCTCTTGGACTTTGTTATTCAAAGTGTGGTCTTTGGACCAGAAGCAGCCAAAACCTTGTTAAAAAGGCAGACTCTCAAGCCCCACCCCAGGCCTACTGAATTAAAATCTCCCAGGTGATTTATATGTACATTAAAGTCTGAGAAACACTGTGCTAGGAAAAAGTGCAAAAAATGGAGTAAAAAGTGAACTCTTTAAGATTGAGATCATATAGCATATGACCCCAATTCCAAATGCGTTCAATAAACCAGGATAAAACTCCAACAAAAACACATTACTACTTACAGAATTAGGCATGGCTGCACAAGAATACAAGGTATCTCGACCCGCTAATCGCTGTATATTTTCCAAAAGCAGTCCAACAAACGGGAGGTATAATTGTGCTATTTTGGCTTGCTGGTTCTGAAAAATAATTATCCAAAGCTTAATAGGTATATAATATGTATATATTACAAATAAACAGAGTTAGCTCCATATATCAATTTAATGACTAAAAAGTAGGCTAATATCCACAACGAATTAGTGAAACAAGAATCCATTTATACTTATAGTCTCAAAGCTAATTACCACAGAACTTCTTTGGCATTTGGATTTATATACAACACAGACTCAAATTACATCCCTCAGACATAACTACATAAAGGATATTTTTAATAGCAGTTGACCTATAAAGCAGATAGTATTACTCCTGTTATTTTACTCCAGTGAAGGCTGCGCTTCATGAGAACAGGGACCATGGCTGTCTTGTTTACTGCTTCATTCCCAGTGCCTAAGCATATAGCAGATGGTCAATAGACATTAGCTGAATAAATAAATGAATAAGTGGAAGAAACGAAAAAAAAAAAAACAGTAAATTACTATATTCATTCAAGAAACATTTTTTGTTTTGATTAAAGCTGCAATTACAGTAATGTGATCTTGGCCCCCTAGGTCAATTATAAGACTTGGGAGAGTGATATATTTGTAAATATAAAGCTGGCCACTAGTAGTTTCAATTAATGTGGTACCTCTTATACAAATTTATTTATTATTTTCCTCACCAGATACATACATATACTCAAATCAGAGAAAACAGTGGTTGTGATGGCACAAGAGTTGCCCTCCATATTTCAGGACTTTGGGAGATTTTTCTGGAGACTTAGATAAGACCTCTAGGGCAAAATGGTCAACCTATAGAATATAGAAGATCAATAGTATCTCACTGTTGTTTTAGTTTGCATTTATTCTTGAGGTTCAATACTTTTTCATGTTAATTGGAGACCTGCACTTCTTTTGTGAATTTCAGGCTTACCTCTTAACAACTTCCTTCTAACATAGTACCCCATCGATAACATAGTACTCCAACAATAATAATCTTCTCTATCAACAGAAGATTCTGATTCAGTAGGTCTGGGTTGCCCCAGATGATGCTGTTGTGCATATAAGTTTGAGAACCACAAACCTAATTCGACTCTTGCCAAAGGCAGGAATGGCCTTTACGTGCATCCCTGACGCATGGTTAGTTTTTAAAACTTCTGAAAAACTCCAGCCTTTTTGTGAGTTCTGTTAAAGAGCTACTCTAACTGAAATAAACTTATAAGTTCTACCTCTCAGGTATAGCCCTGCCCTTTGGACCTAGAAAGACTAAATCTACTACTACTTTTGCATGGCACCCTTTAAATATTTGAAGACAGTTAGTATGAATTGTCTTTATTTGTTCTTAACAAGGCTAAATAGCCCTCATTACTTTCCTATATTCTATGGCTTTGGTTTCAAGACTTTTCACTTAGTGATTATCCTTTTTTTGGTGGTTCTCTAATTTTTCAATGTCTCACTTGAGATTTGAGAGGCAGTATAGCTAGTGATTAAGAGCACAGATTTTGCAGTTAGACATGCATGAATCCCAGCTTTCTCCCAATACTAGCCACTTCATTTTGATCAAGTCACTTTATTACAGTTTTCTCTTTGGTAAAATGAGAATGATATTATTTCATGTCAGGTATTTAATACGGTATCTGGCATATAGTGAGTCCTCAATACATTTTAGCTGCTATTATTAATACTATGTGGCTTCTAGATAGGAATCCATTTTAGTTCTGATAGTGATCTCTAGGGAAGGAGGTACTGCAATATTCTCAGGTAAGCAGGAACACAGGAAAACATACAGTCCTTACAAAATATATTAAAATTTTTGCCTGCACAACAGACAAAAAACAACCTAAGAATCTATTAATAGAAGACTAGTTAGATAAATAAGGTATATCCATATGATGGAATATTATGCAGCTATTTTTTTTTAATTTGAAAGATCTAATCTTTAGGAGGTATTGTTAAGTGAAAAAAGGAAAATGCATAATGGTTTCTATTCTATATATAGATATATAAATATATAACCTATACCTATATGTGTATATATAAAATATAGGCTTGTGCTTACATAAAATAGAAGTATTCATAAACTGATAACAGTATTTTCTTCAGGAGAGATGAACTGGGGATTGAGGTAAGGAATGGGACATTGTGATTTTTGGTTTTTACCATGCATGTAGATTACCTTTTTAAAAAAGGAAAAAGGATTTGCCTACAGCCCAACTAGAAGTAGAAATTGCAATTCTTTTAGGTGTAACCATCACTTGTAGTGGATATAAGAACTATAAAGACCCCAGGACAAATGTTAGACATTGGACATCCTTGTTCTGAATAGGAAAGATTCTCATGGTGATTATAACAAGTTAAGAGATCTCTCTAAGCAATTTATGAGTAACACATAAACAGGGACCAGTTCTATCTCCAGAATTTCATCAGAGCAGGGCCTTAGGAGTGGCAAAGGGGTAGGGAGTGACTAGGGAGTCTAGTCTTAAAGCAGGCTTTCCATAAGAAGCATTCTTTTCTTAACTTTTTATTTGGGGTCACTTTGAGGTATTGATAGAAATCGTGGGGTCTTAAAGCTCCCTCCCATCCCTCATCTTGGCATCATCATTAATGGCAAACATGATTTACTTGAATGTATTTGACAAAGTACCTCTTACCCCAGCCACCTGTAAACTCTTTGCACCTACCAGAGAAAGAACCTTTTATACCCTTGCCCAATGTACTACAATTGAAGCTTTGGTTAGCCAGGACCATGAAGCAAACAAAATTCTTCTGGAGAGAACCCTACACTCATTTAATGCCTGTCTAGAGCTTTTCAACAAAGAAGAAAGGGCTTTAGAAGTCACTGAAAGGGTAATGAAGCTTGGCATTTCAATCTTTCCCATAGTCTAAAACCTTAAACACTCAAACAGGCACAGTGTCTATAACTATTATGTACCCCAGGCATGGTGTCCAACTTATTTACAGATAACAATAGCTCTGTGTGTGTGTACATACTGCTCTCAGAATTTAAAAAGTAAATAGAAATGTCCAAATTTGTGATATACAATATTTAAATTCCACCTCTAGGTAAGACAATGGTGAAATTCCATTTTCTTTCACTTTCATCTGAAGAGGTAGTAAAGGAAAATATAACTTCCTGCTTCAGAGAGAGGAAGTTCATTTTGTACTTTTCCTGTAAATCATTTAAAATCACAACTAAAGACATTTTCCTCCATATTGCATAAGATCCTTTTCCCTACTACTAAGCATAAGCAACATTTAACCAGAACCCAGCAATAACTGGCATTTTTAAAGGCTTTACCAAGCTTGGTTGGACTGGATGACTTTTAAGACATCTTTTAATGTGGAAACATTATACCAGTTAACTTGTGTTAAGTCAATATCACCATTCACAAAAATGAAAATGGCACATAACTGAGCAAACTACACTAAGTGGAGGTATGTTAATATATTATAGTTATGTGACAAAAACAATGGAAACTGCAGTAAGCAATAAATTAAATCTTAAAGCTAAGGAATTTAAATCTACTTTAGGATAGAATCAAATCAAGAAAACTAGCAAGATTCATAAGTAAAAATATCTCTGTAATTAAAGAAATATGAGTTGATGTCACCAGTAGGCATTTTCTGTTTATAAAGGACAAATGGGAATACTGTAGAAAGAGAATAAAATCCATTTCCAAGTCAGGTTTCCAAAATGATAACAATAATAAATGACATAATTTTATTTATGTTTCAATGTAAAAACAAAGGGACAAATGATTAATTATGAAACAATATTATGTTTCCTTGAGCCATTTGATAACAGGAAAGTAAGTTAGGTTATTCTAACTTATACAGTTTGCAATCTACTTTTCCAAGCCAGTAGAATTTAATGTCAGTAAGATTTGAAAGTATGTTAGAGGTGCAGCAAATAGCAACCATGGCTGTGGCTTTCGCTAGACTATGTGTAATGTATGTACAGTTTACATCTATATCCACAGATATTTACAGTAATACCACCAATATCATTTTCTTCAATAAGAAGAAAAACTTCATATTACATATTTTATATATGATATATTCAACATGTCTGACTAACCACTTAATAACTTATTATACTTATTTAGGGATATATATTTAAAGATTACATATTAAGGTATATATTTGATACAAATGATTTTTTTAAAATTCCTAATTAGCTTATATAATAAATCATGAAGCAATTATGTTCTTTTTAAATATGATTTGAAAAAACAGTTTTTAACAGTAAACTAAATAATATTTTTTAAAACCTAATGATTTGAAACAGAAACAAATCTTATTTGTAAAACTAAGTTTTCATCAATGTTCGTATTATGCTCCTTACTGCAAACTTCATCTTGAATAAAAAAATCTTAGTAGAAATTTACTAATGTGATGCTAATGACTGTATGGACATCCTTACCTTGTGCTGGTATCTAGTGTCAAATGCATGTTTTATCAAAAGATTCTTTATGACAGAGATAGCTGTATATCTGATCTCATAATTGTCCTGAAGAGCAATGGAAGTTTCCCTCAGGAGTAAACCAACCAAGAAGTGATGCTTGCAATACTCATCTGATAAACTGTATTCAAGATTGGAATCTGTAGTACAATGAAATTTAAAACTCGTTTATAAAAATATTCAAAATATTACTATAAAATAAAATACTATATGTGATCACGCTAGCAAGAACTATAATTTTGATTGTTAATGAATCTTAGCAATTCTTTTATCATGTAGAATAAGCATGCAAACTTTTACAAGACAGGAACATTCATACTTAGGGCTAGATGATAGCTTTAATGATAATTTCAGTTAGCAAGAAAGTCCCTAGATTCTTTCCTTTTTCCTAGATTCCTTTAAACTCTTAGAAGTCTTAGGATAGCACAGAGAATGAAATAATTCTATATTTGGCAATGTTTTAATACATCTCCTTATATCCAAAGAGATTTTGTTGCAACTATAAATTTGGATAATTCTGTACAACAATGCTTGATTTACTTATCCATTTATACTTGTAAAGTGGGAAAAGAAAGAGAATCTAGACAACTGAACCATTCTAACGGTATTAAGTACTGACGGTTTTAGTAAACATCACATACTGGCCTGAATATATACATAGGATACAAGAACAAATAGCTTCATCCCACTCCAATTCATTATCACTCAAACACAAATCTTTCATTTTACAAAATCATCACTTCAAGCTATGTCTTTCACTTCCTTTTACACCCTAGGTCTATCTTAAATTTCAGATGTTAATATACTGGTTGGGACTTGCCTTATAGCTACTCATAGGGGATAGTGATCAAGTTTAGTATTTTCTTTTTTTAATTTTAGAGATGAGGTCTCGCTATACAATCACAGCAAGCTACAGCCTTGAACTCCTGTCCTCAAGCAATCTTCCTGCCTCAGCCTCCCAAGTAGCTGGGACTACAGGAGCCCACCACTGCACCCAACCAAGTTTAATCATTTCTATTGTAGATTTCTACTATCTTTATTTCCTCTTCCCTGCTATTTAATTTAGTTAGGTCACAAAGCTGAATCAGAACATGTTTTCTATTTCTTTTTTTGCCCTCTCCAGCACTTAATAGAATGCTGTATATTCAGTTAGGACTTAATGAATGCTGTGAATAGTCAATTTAATCTTAAATTCCTGATGATCTGTCTGCCCTTTCTTTTCCCTGACTCCCTCATGGCTATCAATTAATACTGGGTGAAATATGTAAGCTATACATGCTCAGAATCTAATAAGGGGGTAGTTGAATAGGGGTGCTATGATTTTAAATATTTTTTCTTTAATTTTCACTAGCTGTAATTCTATCACTAAAATCATGGCTCACTGATACTTCCCTAGAGACCAAGGCATGGCTCATGGTCTTCTGTGAGCCCCCATCACTTTCTATGCACAAGGGCCAGGACTGACTAACCAAGGTGGCCTTATCTGGGTAGAATTTACACACGGTAATAAGTTTTTTACTTCAGTTATTTGAATAAATCCAATCAGGTGGTTTCATCCACACCTTCAAAACTATGGCCGAGGAGTCACTAAACAGGGTCAGAGAAAAGGAGGCAAGCCTGAGAGAGGTGACACTTAAAAAACAGATACCTTGCAGCTCCCATCCTTGCCTCTATGCTGGCTGACAGCATGAACTTGTGTTTTGAGGGCAGATGTTTTAAAGCTGATTCCTCTAGCAACATTCAAGCTTATTTGATAAAGTCAACAAACACACTGCTTCCTAGATTTTCTTGGGCCATTAACTAAAGCGTCATTTTGGCTAGGGAGGATTTGAAAAGCAACAAAGCCCCCATCCATCTTAGCCATTCATCAAATCAATTGTGTTTAAAAACAGCAAACTACTTTAGAGTGAACCGAGTTAAACCTACCTACTGGAGTCAAACGGTCCACCGCAAATGAAAAAAAATCTAATTAATATATGAAAAGAAAAGGGACAAATAAAAAACACAGTAACATAAGAATAGTGCTGCACAACAAAGCATTCAATAAAACTAGCAATGGAGACAACTGAAGATATTTCATAACTTTAGTACATACATGTTACCATTTTACTCTGCCTTTACATTTAGTTTTTGATACTTTGAGCAGAAATGCATTTACTTTTATTCTTAGTCTCATATAAGATTCCAAACACCACTACAGAGAGCAAATTTTATCTGACATCAGTGGTTAAACAGCAATCCATGTAACACTCCCGATTTCTTCATACTTTCAATACTACCCCTGATACTATGAAGGAAATGCAGAATACCATTAATGGACCTATCTTTAGATAGTAACAATTCTGAGGTTAACTTCAAGGTGACTGATTTCACTAGAAAACATTATACTACACTAGCACTAGCAAACAAAAGGTGGGGGGGAACATTCCAAATGATGGAAAATGCAAATACATACCTTGAACCCGCTGCAGTTTAGGTTTTGCAAATGCCATTGGCAAGTTGAGAGGAATGTAATGTTCGTGATTGCAAATTGTTTGCAGAAATTCAAACTTGTATTCAGCCAGAACCTAAATGGGATTCACTCATATTTAGTAAACATTTACTATTTTAATAATTTAATATAGAGCATTCACTTTCACAACAGAAGTGGTTGGTATTTTAAGCATACCTTGAGATGTAACCTGTGCAGGAAAGAGTTAACATAGCAGGCCTAGACTTCTATCCTTAAAAATGCTTACTGGTTGGCTAGCATCCAAGAAATTGGGATTTTGAAATATTCCCTACATGATAAGGTTGCATCTTCTGTGCCAGCCTTCTTAGACTGTTTGTACGAACAATGTGATTAATGGTGAATAAAAATCCTAAACTCCATTTCTCAAACAGGCTTTCCTGAACAGAAATACTGTACAAATATAAGTGCATTTTTACTGAGGAAGGGAGGGTGTGCTCTGTGTGACCCTTCACAAGAGGGAGAGAGCTCAGAAAGCCTGCACAGGGATTGCTACCAACCCCATTTGATGTCTTTTCCTTCTTGATTCAGTTGAGTACCCTTATCATGTTACTCTCATGAATCTTAGTGTCATTATGACTATATGTTGAGTCTGTGAGTCCTTCTAGTAAATCACTGAACATTTAGGTAGTCTTGAGGACCCCCAAAACACAGTCCAATATTCCCTGCTTTACGGTATGGCTACACTCAAGGTACCTAAATGAAAACAGCAATTCTAAATCCTCCAGAGGAGAATGAATATCATCCCTGGTCTCATGTTCAAATGTCTGACATGTACTACACAATTATGCCCTTATAACTTACCTTAGGATCTTTTGGGCTGAATCCAGATATATAGTCATTTATCAAATTGAAAACAAATCCTCTATCCATTAGTGTCAAACAGCGCTGTAGAAACCAAAACAAAATGAACAGTTGCATAATTCTAAAAGTCTACAGTCTGAACATGTTAAGTTTTTAAACTTTTTAAATTTGTACCACACTAAGATGACATTTTCATTTTTACAGATAACAGAATAGCAGCTTTCAGACACCTCCTTACCAAAAGCTTTCAATAGTTCCCGATGGCCTCTAATATAATTTCAAACTCCTTAGCTTGGCATTCAAGCACACTCACAATCTTGTCACAACTTACATTTCCAGCTTTATTTTCCAATAGAGCTCATCAACTTATTGCCCTCTCAAGATGCATTGCATATGCCCACCACTGGGTCTTCACTCACAATAGACCTAACAATTAATTCCATCACTACTTCTTTCTAATCCTGCCCATTCTTCAAAGTTCTCAGAATGTCCCATCTTCCTCAATCACCTTAGTCTGTAGGTCACTTTAAATACTTTATTCTATATTAGCTTGTATTTTACTTATTATTTTCCTCTGTTCTCACCCAGACTGGACAAGTAAGAACTATCTCTTTTTCTTTATATCCTCCACAGGGCCTAGAATATTCTGTGAAATACAAAGAACTCAATACTTGATTAATCAGCTGCATGTATCTCATATCTCACCCTCTCCACTTCCCTCTGCCACTGCCTGGGGGCAGCCCCTCATTACTTCTCACTTGGATTACTGAGCTAGGCTTATATTCATTTATTCATTCATCCAACAAACATTTGGAGGACCTACTATGAGATAACATATGACGTTCTACAGAAATACAAAGTTGAATAAGACACAATCCGTACTTTTGTCTAATGGTGAAGATAAATAAACAAATAATTAAAATACAGCACAGTAACAGTGCCACAGAAGTGTGTAAAGGATGGGCAAACAATACTGCATGGGAAGGTCAAGGAAGAGCTGAGCCTAAAAGATGAGTGGATTCTACCAGGTAGACAACTGGCTTTCTAATTGATTGCCCTTACTTTGGTCTCTTCCTTGCCGCATGCATCCATACCAGCCATAAATTATCCTCCAAAATCTCTTTGGCATTTCTCCGATGCATAGAATCAAAATCCAAATTCCTTAACCTGACATTCAAAGCCTTCCAGCATCTGACACCAGATGGCTTTTCAGCTCTTTTCCCACACATCCTAAACTTGCTGCACAATGACAACAAGTAGACTGTGGTTACAACACCAGACATGTTGCTTGAGTTCAAAAGATGCAAACCCAAAAGCCAACAGGAGTCAAAGAAGCAATTTAAAAGCATAAAGAGGGTCAGGAGTACAATAAATAGTGGCAGAGACTGTGGCAACCTAAAAAGCATGTGCCCCATCTAAAAGCATTCCAATTAAAATATGATTAAAAACATTATGTACAATAAGCAAAACCTGTCTTCTGGCTAAACCACCCATGTGGGTCCTCTGGTTTAATTAATTAGCTATTTCAGTGGGGGGAAAAATCCAAAATTTGGCTAAATTGATCCATCAATTCAGTCAAAAGAGTTATTCCCATAGCCTATATTATAAAGATCTAGCTGAGTCTCTAGAATGCGGGTATTTTTTTTTCCTTTGGCTTTCATGACCCTATCAGTGAAGGAGAGTTCCTTACCATGTTCCAGCTGCCTTTAACTCACCTTCAGGAAGCTAGCCAAACTGTAATTCACATTTCTGGACTCCTCAGGAATCTCTGCATAGCGAATAGTCACATGGGGAATGATTGCAAGAAGCAGTGAATGTAAGACATGGTGATATGCCTCAGGAAATCTCTGGCCTCGGGGAAGCTTAAATTAAATAGGCATAGAAAAAAGTCAGACTTCTAAAACATCTAAATCAATTGTCCTTTTTATCTTTATATACATTCACTATATAAGTATGTTCTAAAACTGAAGTATAATTTTTCTCCCAATTTAAAAATGACATCACTAGCTCAATGTATACTTTAGATCATTATAGGAACTGTCTAGACCAGGGGTGGGGAACCTGTGGCCTTCTAGGTCCTTAAGTGCAGCCTTTTGACTAAATCCAAATTTTACAGAATAAATCCTTTTATTTTTATTAATACATTTTTGTCTTTTTTTTTTTTTTTTTTTTTTTTGGAGACAGAGATTCACTCTGTAGCCCAGGCTAGAATACAATGGCATCACCATAGCTCATTGTAACCTGTAACTCCTGTGCCCAAGTGATCCTCCTTCCTCAGCCTCCCAAGTAGCTGGGACTACAGGTGGGTACCACCACACCCAGCTAATTTTATTCTATATTTGGTAGAGACAGGGTAGGGTTTCGTTCTAGCTCAGGCTGGCCTTGAACTTGGGACCTCAAGTGATCCCACTGCCTTGGCCTCCTAGAGTGCTAGGATTAGAGGTGTGAGCCACTGTGCCCAGCCATATTTTTATTTTATTTCTAAAATAAACATTTAAAATACCAAAAAGTAAAATAAGTTTCAACAAAATAATCCTCCCAGATTGACCAGCACAATTAGAACATTAGTAAGCCATAAGGGCTAAAATGATGGCTGGTAAGCTTATGATTTAGTTCTAACTTTCCCTGCCAGACTGGCACCACTACCGCATGAGGTTGGCTGGTGAAAGTTTATGGGGGCCAAGCACGCCAGTCTGTTATCAGCTTTTGACAACAGTGCATTGTGTTTCTATCTGAAGTGTAATTTGTGAATAGTTGCACAGCTCAACAGTATTTTTTTAATTCTGTCTGCTTAACAGCCCATTATATCAAGACCAAAGAAGACCATGAGAATGCTAAAGAAAGAAAACACATTTTTAACGAGGATTGGGAATTCCAATATTATCTTGTTTCTGCTAACAATAAAATGATTTGCTTGCTTTGTGATACTGCAATATCAACATTAAAGAAATTCAATGCTCATCAACATTATAACACTAAGGACCACAAATATTTTAAATTAGAGGGAGAGGTGTGAAAGGTTATACTGCAGAAATTAAAAGATGAAAAGCAAAAGCAAAGACAATTCTTTCAAGCAGCAATAAGACCTGGAAATAATGCCACTGAAGCAACTTATAAAGTAGCCTATATACTCAGGAAAAAAGGGAAGCCATTCAGTGTTGTAGAAATTGTGAAAGAATGCATTGTTGAAGATATAGGATGCTTAGACACTGATAATGTTTCAAAGTACAAACAACTGCCTCTTTCAAGGAGAACTATAACTGATTGGCAGCATTAATTAGGCTTCAACTTAACAGAACAACCTCATGCAATACTTCAAAAGGTAAACATATATTCTCCAATTGCTCTGGATGAATCAATTGATACTACTGACTCAGAGCAGGGATACTACTGACTCAGATACTTCATTCAGGTAACATAATATAATATATTCATAACAGAATATTTTCTTGAAAAATTGCTACAAAGAGTTAATGGCTTTGGGCACTCTTGTGAACAAAACATGGGGAATAAATATCTTCAACAACTTTCAAGATACATGTTGTGATGTTAGACTGAATTTGGTAAATTTAGTGAGTGTACACACAGACGGTACACCTTCCATGACAGGAAAACATGAAAGGTTTATTGCACATATTTTAAAAAAAAAGTATTAACAGATCCAGATGCTCTCATTTCTTTTCGTTGTATTATATATCAACAAAATCTCTGTGCTAAAGCTACTGTTTTAAGTGATACTTTTCAACAAGTTATAATTATTATTAACTATATTCATGCAAATGGAACACATCATCAGTTTCATAACATGCTAAAATTGAACCATGAGGTATTCAGTGTGGATTTGCCCCATTATTCGAAAGTGCGTTGGCTATCACAGAGACATGTGTAAGCCGAAATTTTATCTCTGTGAGAATAATTAAATTTTATGAAGAACAGAATCAGCCATGCAAATTATTGCAAGAAGATTTCTATCGGAATGCAGCATTTCTGTGTAATATCATGTCAAATCAAAATGGCTTGAATATTTCTTTGCAAGGTAAAACTAAATCTATATATGATATTAATATGTGGCAAAAAATCCAAGCATTTCAAAAAAAGACATCTTTCTTCAAAACACTTCTTCAAAAGAAAATTTCGGATAAACATTTTCCCCAGCTAGCAAAGGTCACTGATGAGCAGGGTGTTATATGCAAATCATCTGAAGAATACACAGCTGTTATGGACCTATTAATTGGAGAGTACAATGAAAAATTCGCTGACTTTGAGAATCATGGTATCACACTCAAATTAGCATCTCAACCTCGTCTAGTTGATATCACCAAGGCACCTAAAGAACTACAGATGGAACTGACTGAGTTCTCAGTAGATGACATTTTAAAGTCACTGTCTGATGCTAAGAATGCTCCAATTGAAATATGGAGAAATGCACTATGCCCATGCCTTCAGCAACATGCGCAGAAAATACGTTCTTGCTTTTCAACCACTTAATGCTGCAAATCTACATTCTCCTACCTAATCCAAATCAAGATGCCCTTAGGGTCACAAATGACTGATAACCCATCTAGAGGATCAACCAAAACTGCAGACTTCCATGCTGCAATCAAATATTCAAATGTTTTCCAACAAAAAGCAGACACAACAAAGTCATTAAAAGGTTAGCTAACTTTAAAATTAACAAATAGTTTTTCATTTTTTGAAATTACTAAGTACATAGTAGATTTTTACAAAATAGTGTACATTCTTAAGTATATCTAATTGAGGTTTCTTGACTGTGGCCTTATTTGATTATAGCTAAATTAATGTGGCATTCCAATATGAAAAAGTTCCCAACCCCTGGTCTAGATCTCTAATAACAGAACTGACCAAAAGTATTGCAAGAATGGGTTCTTCTGACCCAACTTTGGAATATCATTCTCCTGAAATATGGGCATATCCCATTTTCCATTCCACTTTTTTCCTGTTTGCATGAATTTCAACTTCAACAAATCCATTCCATGAAAATTCTGATAAAAATGATAAATATGAGGTGAATATTTTTTACCTCACAAGTCTTAGATTTATGATTCCTGTAACTAAGAAAATTTCTTTGTACTTTTAAAATAATTTAAAAACTACAACTAAATGTATGCATCACTTTCCAGGAACATATTCTACTGCATAAAGTGTTTTCAACTTTGTAGATGACTTAAGGTTTTCTAGAAGTAAGGTTATGGCTAATTTGGTACTTGTTCTTCTTCCAAATGAATCTTTTCAACATAGACGTTTTTAAACTATAAGACAAAGGCAAAGATTCAAAGGCAATGAGTTTTACGTGGCAAATAATTATAGGAAAGAATCTATGAGGAAGAGTAACTGCAGATTAGACTGTGAGAACATATGAACTGTGAGACCTCTGATTTATGCAATACATTCATTGTTTTGGTAAGCAATGCTGAAAAAGCTAAGGGCTAAAAACCATCAAATATAAAGGGGTTTGCATGTCGCAGCTGACAGTAAGATTAGCTTTCTTTGCCTGTGTCAAATATTATTCTTATATAAATACATACAATTATTTGTCAATTCAAAATAAAATGAAACAAAAAATATTATTCTTTAGCCTACTTACCTTAATTTTATTCTCTTCCAACAAGTATGTGGCCATTGACTTTGCAATTATTTCAAAGAAAAACCATGAGTACTAAAATAAATAAATAAATAAAATCTTTAATAGTTACCCAAATCTTTGAAGCTTAGCAGAAGTTTAACATATTAATATGGATCTTGTCTTTGAACTTTACTAACATCTTCAAGTCATTCTAATTCACTGTCAAAGTTTCACAGAATACCTTCAAATTGTCTTAGCAAAAAGGTACTATTGTACCAGAGTTGACTGGTGATGTACACAGGGAGGATGAGAACATTTGCCCCAGTGGGGAGGAGTATTTTATCACTGACATTTTGAATTGCCCCCACATGGTGATAAGAGCAAACCAACTTTTAGTTTATTTTGCTACTGCTATTAAATCTTCTATAGACAGTGAATCTGTTACCACTTGCACTTAATGGAGGCCCCACCGTTGCCCTTGGTACAACACTGGTACAGCCTAAGTAGCCCAGGAGTTTGTCTACATCCTGTAATTTGAAGGGTAGAGAGAAGCCTAAAGGAGATGTATCTTAAGATACCCAAAATTCCATCATTAATAAAACAATAAAAATAATGATGATGATGATAAAAGCTACCATTTAGTCAGTGCTTACTATGTGCCAAAAACTATGTGTTAAAATGCTTTACTTATATTTTAGAAATGAGGAATCAGAGGCTCAGGAATCCTAAACAAGTGGCCCCAGGACACAAAATTATTCTGTGATGGATAGAGGATTCTAAACTAGATCTATTGGTTCCAAAATTCTTTCTCTTACACATTTTATTGAGGTCAGGAGGTGGGTAGGGAGGGTGAAGAAGGTTCTATGGAGAACTTCAGGAAAAGGATGCTTGGACAATGTGATGGGGAGAGAGAGGGTCACATAAGAAACTGATGAAAAACTAAACGTGAAATGGGAGGGTATCAAACAAGTGTGTCTATGGCTGCTTCTGTTCCCGGTTATGTCTGGTGTCCTTACCTTTAGCAATTTATTTATTGCTAGGAAATCTGCAGATTGTTTCAATATTGCTATCATGGTAGAAGCCAGGGTTTCATGTATCAGCTGGGCCTGAGGAGCATTTGGTTTTTCAGGTCGGAAGCTATACTACAAAGAAAATGAATTGTAAGACAAAAATGTCACATTAAACAAACTGCTCAGAAAGAAAGCTTATTCCACAAACCTTTATGAAGGATCTTAAATAACTATCCAAGCCTTCTTCGTGGCACTTTGAGACGATATGCAAGAGGACCCTGAAAGGATGACATTCACAGAAGTCAGCATGTCATGCTATAATTAATTACCATAGTTTGATTGTTAAATAAGATCGTCATGTCAAACCCTAAAAATATCTAACACTGTCTAAACAATTAAAAGTGAGATGATTGCATAAGTTGTAATGATAATTTAGGTCTAATAAAGATTTGAGCATCTAACATGCTCAGGGCCTTGTGAAATATATTTCCTGGTTCAAAAGAAGGATACCTTATTTTGGTAAGCCAGATGTTTCATCTCCTTTCTAAATCTCTGTATGTGTTTGAAGTATGGTCATACCTACTATGTAGAGTAAGAGACCTCAAATAAGATAAATACTGAAATCCGCTCTAGTGAGAATAAAAGTAGAGGAACAGAAAGATGCAACGAAAATCATGACATTGGATGGGGGAAAAGGAAAGGAAAAAACAGGGCAGGTATAATGATATGAACAAAAATTGGAGGTAAATATAAAATTCATAGAAAGTTTTAAAGTTAAGAGACTAGCAGTGCTTCTCAAACTTCAGCATACACCAGAAGGACCTGAAGGGCCTGTTAACAGATTACTAAGATCCTCTCCCAAAGTTTCTGATTTTGTAGGTCTGGGGTGAAGTTCAATGATTAGTATTTTTAATAAATTCCCCAGGTGATGCTGATGCTGCTGGTCTGGGAACCACATTTTGGAAAGCACTGGACTAGAGTAATTCTTCTTAAATTTTCAATCGGACTATCCCCAACAGCAGAGATGAGCACAGTGTGTGGGTGTGTGTAGGTTGAAGCCAGGTGTAAGAGATTGTGGCAACAGGAGAGGAAGCAAAAGCCAGAAATATCCAGCACTAAACTCACAATTTTTTTCAAGTCCCCTGTTTTAATTTCAAAATTCAGGCACATTTTGCATTCTACTCTACAATATATCCTTATAAAAATAATACTCCCTTATTCAAGTAAAAATTGATGGCTTACGGCCATATTCTGTCCAATATAAGAGTCACATGTGGCATTTAAATTAATTAAAATTAAAAACAATTAAAAATTCAGTTCTGCAGCTGCACTAGCCACATTTCAAGTGCTCAATAGCCACATGTGACTACTGGCTACCATATTGGACAGCACAAGAATAGAACATTTACATCATTGGAAAAACTTCAATTGGAGCTTATATATTTATCTTCCTAAATACATAAAGCAAATATTAATGGACATGAAGGGAGAAATAGCAATAAAATAATTAGGGGACTTCAATACCCCACTTTCAACAATGGACAGATCAACCAGACAGAAAATTAATGAGGAAATATTGGACTTGAACTACACTTAGACCAAATGGACCAAACAGACATATAAAGAAGATTCCATCCAACAGTAACAGAATATACATTCCTTTCATGTGCACATGGAATATTCTCCAGGATAGACCATATGTTAGGCCACACAACGAGTCTTAACAAATCTAAGAAGAATGAAATCATATCAAGGATCATTTGCAATCATAATGGTATGAAAGTAGAAATCAATGACAAGAGAAATTGTGGAAAATTCAAAATGTGTGGAAATTAACATACTCCTGGGACAAAAAAAAGAAATCAGAAGGGAAATTTAAAAATATTTTGACAAGTGACAATGAAAACAACATACCCAAACCTATAGGACACAGCAAAAGCAGTTCTAAGAGGGAAGTTTATAGCAATGAATGGGTCCATGAAAAAAAAAAGAATGATTTCAAATAAATAGTGTCTTTTTATTATAACACTACAAACTCACATGGTGCAGTTGATAGGAACGTCATCTTCATGGGTCATGTTTGTGAGAACTCGGAAGAGTTGCATAAGAATTACAGGTAGAAATTGTATCATGACTTGGATCTCCATGGCATGCAAACACTAAAATAAGTCATTATTAGTTATGAAAACAAACAGAAATATGATATAATTTGCAAATATGAAACAACAACAAAAAATAAGTAATGAGAAATACATTGACTAGCCTATAAGCTCAGTTAAAATGACAGCTTTTCATGGGACAGGAGATTTTGTTTTTGTTAGTCACTTAATCTACACCTCTATTTTGGCACTGAGATTTTGTTAGTTTATTTAATATTAAATACTTTACTGAAGATAACATGTAAAATTAAGATAAACAGGTTTTGGAAAAATGACAACTGACTCCACTCAACTGTGGAGGGGAACAGACACGTTTGGAGATACTGGAGATGTACTGACTGGCCCCCAGCAGTTTGTATGTTTTACTGGGGAATGTGGGCCTTCATTAAACCTGGTAAGAAGTGAAGTAGGATTCAATAAAGAGTGCTTCTATATATAATAGGCTTTAAACCAGCCCCATCTATAAAACTGAGGCAGCTCTGC